ACTAAGATGGTTCATAAACTAAATTACAAATATTACATGCATTGAAAGCAGATTTTTTGTTTAAGTACTTATTGTGATCCATTCGTAGTCAAGAATATATAGTGAAACCAGATAATATTTCCCCTTTCTAACTCTTACTGCAAATCTTAACCATGAGTTTCATAAGTTTGTCAACAGAACGGTTACAAAACACTGCGTTGTAGTTGATGTCAGTTTGTGATAAAAACTCTAAACTTAACCTAAAAACGTCAACTTAACTCCTAATATATAACTTTAATATTTTGCCATTTTAAATAATGTTAGTTGGTGATGAAAAGTTATTGAGGTGATAATCCTAGCCTAACTCCTAGTATCTAAACTGTTACTTATTAATTGATTGTAAGTAGGAACTTGATTTGTTTAAAACGACGTATAGACAGTTAAGTTTTCACAGCTTAGCAGCAGTGCAGTATTTCTGTTCGGAAACTATTAGCAAACATAAACTGCCGAATAAATTGGGAAATGACTCAGTGGAGAAGATTTGTAGCTCAGGTGGATGATTTGGGTGGAGTTTTGTTCTCAGTACTTGTGAGTTCATTTCACGCTAAAATATATTAAAATTGTGTTAATGATATTACGCTGATTATCGATCAGGTTTTGAACAAGCTTTTATCAAATAAAATTCACTACTAAATAGTCGATAGCTGATAATGTGAAAGTAATGTTCAAAGTATAATTATTTCAAAACCAACAGCGGGATAAACTTGCTTACGTTGGCCTTCTGTTTACTGTTGAAGGAGTTAGTATGCATCGAGAAATGTGGAAAAACACCGATAGAAATCATAATTTGGTCTACGAGAGCTTAATAAGAAAATCATAAGTTCGACGATTCGGAATCGCATCCACATGAATGTAAGTTTACTCTCACTAATTCTCTGAATTTTCTCGATAACAAATGCTTGAATGTCTAATACAGACTCAGCTTTGATCAATTATCACAACTCACTTGTTGATATACACTGACGCACTTGAATAACAGAAAAAAATGAACAACGTTTCACCCGATAACTAGCTAACTTAGATGTTATACTCTACCATACCTTTTTTTGTAACGTGGGAATATTTCGATAAAGAGACACGAAAGCCAGTTTTGTCAAAACTTGTCGCACATGGTTCTTCTCAAGACCCATCATAAAAACTAATGCGATAAAGAAAGATGGTATATCTGAGATTTTTTGACGAAAATTATACGGGTACATATGAAAGTAGAAATAAAAATACACCATCACACCACAGTTCTTACAAATACTGAGGCTAATGGATCAGAATAAGACGAAAACTATTATTTCGCTATTCTTGCAGTACACAAACAATCAACATTCCTACTCAGTATAACATTTGACAGTTAGTTACCTAATTAGTCGTCGGCGGCCTATGCTCCATTGGGAGTAACAGGCGTAAGTAAGTAAGTAAGTACCTAATTAGTCACGGCATTTGGAATACACTCGAAAATTTCATTTATGTTGATAATGTGTTTCTGAAAAAATACTGCAAACTGCAATGCTATTTTTAAGATAATTTCACTGAATTTTATCAGGTCACCTATTCTGTTGGACTGGAGCACATCCGAAGAAACTGGGCTGAGTCACAAGTTGGTATTCGAGAACTAAAATGTGTGTACTTTGGCTAAGACAAGACAAAAGTCAGTGCTTTTCTAATCGTTTTTAAGTTAAGGCAGATCAATAGTAGAAAAACGACAATCATACCACAATTTCAACTAAGCGCTTGTTTTAATTATTCATTATTCATTATTCACTAAGCGAATCATTTAGCTTCTCAAGTATACATTAAGCGGAAGCGCGAAGTATCCGATATATTCCCGTGCAGCGTGCCGAAAATCTGAAATGGATTGAAATTTAGTAGGCTACGAACGCTTATTTTTTCCAAGCCACAATGTTCTTTTTGACATTGATTGCTTCCTGGCTAATTATTTTGTTTGCATAATACTTTGAGTTTCTTAAATAGGAGTCGAAACACTATGCCACCAACAAAAACAGTGAAAAAAGGGGAAAAAAGCTTCCATAGATTTGCAATATTGCATTTAAATAATGTACACCTAGTACATCGTTTTTTCATGACGACTGACAACACCGTGGCATGATTTTCCACCGATTGCCCAAAAACGATTTTCAAAAAAAATTTTCATTCTCCATGGTGTTGTGGTGGCATTGGTTCCGAACCACACGATTTTTGAAGCTAAGCATATAACAACTGAGAAGATTTACAACTAAAACTTAGAGGTCGGAAATGATCGACTTAAAAGACCTAATCAGTATGACATGGCTCTGCCATCCAGGTGTAGACACCACTCTGTAATCTGTTGCTTTCCATACTAACTAAATCATCCTTTTACCAGACCAAATGTATTGGTCACCCCTATTACTAACCAATTTATTTTGTCTTCAAGTTTGTAGAACGAATACAACAAACAACAATAATTTTCCTGACTAAGACAGTTCTCCTACCACACTGATGTAGATCTCACGGAACAATCAGTTCTCGAAACAGGATAAATGATAACTTTTTGTTTCGGCAATGTTGAGTGGCTTGACTTAATGCAGTCATTCCATATATGAAGTACCTGAGGTCAGTGGCATGTTTGTGGAATAATTTTATTTCAGTTGAAATTATGGGTACTTTTGCGTACCATTTGTATTAACTGATGACTCCTTTATACTTGATTGAACATTTATTACGAATTCTAAATGTAATACGACTATTTGTGCTCACCTAGTTCGACCTGCCTTAAATTGCACTATTTTTAGGATTTCTTAGTTAGCACATTATTTCAAATACCTCTGGTTATCATAGTTTGCTAAGTAGAGGTCATACTTTCGTTTACAGTGCTCTGTAAACAGAGAAAGTAGTCGTAGTTTGAAAAGCTTTCATGCTAATAGTAGATAACCAAACGCTTGATGTGATGACAATCATTGAACTTCCAAATGCACGCTGTCAGAGACAACAGAACCATGTGAAACTTACATTATGCACGAAAGGCAATGTAAAATTTTTGCTGAATCTAAAGCAGTTAAACTGGAAAGTACTTGTGAAGCCAACTGAAAAAAGTATATAGTAAACAGTGGTTAGATGGTAAATCTTTCACGAAAAGTAATAAAAATGAACATAGACATTCAACAATATTTTTTAACTTCACGAAGCTTACCTTTTTGAAAAGCCATCGACTCTGATTTACTTCATCTCTCGCCTTGTGCAAGAAAACGTGACTTGCAACATCCATCGATCATGTTCTTTCGTTTTCAGGACAGGATACGATTTTGAACCGTGAACACAGGAAACCCAAGAAAACCTGTCAACTGTAATCTTGACTCACTATGAAATGTTTTATAGAATGGTTAGTTAATTATACCCATTTGCTTTTATTTTCAGGTAAGGTATAAAAGTAAACGATTCAGGAGTCAGCATGTAAGCTAAACAAATCTTCATGAGCTTCCGAAAATCATAAAGAACGGTCTGTGACGGTATCTTTACCTCAATTTTTGTAAAAAGACAGTCACATCTTTTGTTCTACCAAAGCAGTTCCTACAGTATGACCCATGTATGTGGGTCAACGTCACCTTCTACAATTTTGACTGTAAGTCGAAGCAGCAAAGTGTAGGGCTAACGAGTTTGGTGCCAGACAAGCTGAACAATAGCTATAGTTTACAGAGCAAGTTATTTAATATTCGTCACACTTAAATACATTTGATCCTTTGTGATGCACTTATATTTGCTAGATAAGTGGCGGTAAATAAATGACAAATGTTGGTCTGTAAGTTCTCGAAATTGATAAAGACCTCATTAGTTTGGTGGACAAACCCTAGCTAAAGGCGCCCGGTAAAGCATACGCATTTGTAGCTGGTTGAACTATCTGCTTCCAGTTTCGACCTTCAGATTGTCTTAGTCGGAGATTTCTGTTATTAGTGATTACTGTCTCTTTTCTTCCTTACTTATTTCATGTGCACTGTGTTCCCTTGCTGGGTCGTCGACTCACCTTCTCTCGTGTTCTTCGCTTTTTTAGCTCTGCTCACTCACGCTACTCTGCATTCTTCTCTTACTATATAAGTACCTTCAAGTAAGACGCAAACGGCTGCAGCACTAGATCACTATTGAGTACGCCTAGCTCATATGCCACTCGAAACGTCGACTACCTTTCAAATATGCCACTGAACCACTTCATTTTTGAATTCTAAATAAATGGGTTTGGAACTCTCCATAATGACGTGTTAAGGACAGCAGTGATGCCAAGCGCTGAATATACGTGACATTTTAAAATCTATTCCGGAACGTAATAAAAATGGCCACAGTGTCTCATGATCTTTTAGAAGTGTGATTGATGCCTTTAGTGACCTACAAATATTATCTCCTCACACTTTTCAAAAGCATCAACTAAAAGTCTATGCTTTTTTGAATATATGTATATCCTTCTTTGAATCAGATGAACATCAAAAGGAAATATCTAATTTTTGATTCAGTTTCGAATACCATCGCATTTTATACAGTAGTTGCTCAATCAGAACTCAAGGTTTTGAAGTGGGCATGCGACTACTGTGTGAGCAAATCCATAGAGCCGCCGAAAAATGTTAAATGAGAGGGCAATGTGTTGATCCTTGGAACCTCAAAGCTAACATTTGAGAGAGGACTGGTTAAGCCGAACCTATTCCAGTTGATATAAATTCCACCCGTTTCATTGACCAGATGATTGACTGGATCACCTCAAAAACATGATAGTTCAGAACCAAATGTTTGTACCGTAACCACTAATCATTACGAATTACTCTTTAACCCAACATGCGGTTGAAGCTCCATTTGTCAACAAATTCCAATTAAATGTAAGCCAACAGACAGACCATTTTCATCATGACTACAATAAATTATTCAGCCTAAAGTCCATCTAAAATCCAAACTAAAGACTGAATTTAGTTATCTCAGAGCGCGTAGTACGTATTTGGCGTTACATAGATAATCTTGATAGGTTAATCTGAGGTAGGGCATAAAGATCGTATTTTCGATGTAATCGATCGATATACATCATTATACCATCGATAGAATATATTCCTAATGACTCATAAAAATTATACTTAACCAATCTTTGTTGAGACGCGCGCGCTATTTAAAACGACAGTGATATTTTTCCTCTCTGGGTAAATTCTATTGTTTCGATCGTCTATTACGTATCAAGACTAGTGTTTTCACATTAATTGAATTTATTTCAGTTAAAGTACTCGGTTACGTACTTGAGTTAATGTTTGAACTTTTGCTAAAGTTTGCCTTGTGGTTTCATTTTACTCGTTGATTGACACTGTGTTCATACTGTGATCATATTGTGTTTTACATCTCAATCTGACAAGAGTGATTAGTATTACTCACGAATATAGACAACCAAACTGTTTCTTCCCTGTGGAGGAAGAAATGCAGTGTGATGAATGTGGAAAGTTGTTCCGGAAGATGTGCACCCGTTAAAGTCCCTTCGTATACAAACTTCAGTAATAAGGACAGGTCTATCGACTTATATTGATCCTTGCAGTTTGTAATACTGTGGAGGCCCAATCTCGCTTTGGATATATTAACAGGTGCTGATATTACGTTTTCCGGTAGAGAATTTCAGTAATTCACTACTCGGTGCGAGAAACGGAACTCCAGATGTAAACGATTGGATCTCGGTTTTTGAACTTTCTTCGAATGTCCTCTCAAATGATCAGTCCTAGACGGAAGTAAAAGATAAGACATGTTAATACCAAGGTCATCGTTTGGTATATGATAAGCCAATATTAGATCACCCCATACTCTACGGTAAGATAACGGAAATAAGTTAAGGTGTCTCAGTCTGTCTTCATAAGATAGACCAGGTAGACCTTGTACCATCTTATTACCTCGTCGTTGGACTCTTTCCAGCCTCTCTGCTTCATACTTGAAACAAGGACTCGCTGCTTGAATCCCATATTCTAAATGTGGTCGCACATAAATCGGGTATGATAATCTAAACATTTCATCATCTAAATACTGGAAAGACCTACGAATAGACCATAATACCCTATAGCCTTTCGCAGCAGCAGCCTTACAGTGACTAGTGGTTTTGAAATCACTGCTTAATATGACTCCTAAATCTTTATAGTTCCTTACTTTGGGTATCACGAATCCACATATCGTATAGTGATACGATTCATCATAGTCATTTATTTGCATCACTACACTCTTATTAGGATTTACTTCTTGTGACCACCTGTCCAACCACGCCACAATGAGCTATGATCATTCTGTAATACTATCCTATCCGACATACTGTGTATGGGTTTCCAAATTTTTATGTTATCAGAGAAGAATAGAACGGATGATTTTGCTATAGTTGGTAATTCATTTACATAAAGTAAAAAGAGAAGAGGACCGAGGATTGTACATTGGGAAACTCCACTTTTTACAGGTACCCACGAGGAGCTCCATTTATCCTTATCCTTTGTCTCCTGTCATGGAGAAAGTTACTTATCCAATCTACAACTGTATAATGGATACCAAAACGTTCCAGTTTGAATTTAAGACCAGAGTGGGAGGCCTTATCGAAGGCCTTACTTAGATCCATGAAGATCACATCTACAGGAATATTCCGATCTTTTGCAGCAGCCCAATCTTCTCTTGCAATGAAAAGATTCGTCAAGCATGATAGGCCTCTCCGAAAACCATATTGTTCCCTGGAGAAAAGATTATGCCCTTCAACATAGTTTATAACAGATATCCGAATGATTTTCTCCATCACTTTTACAACTGCACTAGTTAAGCTAACGGGCCTATAGTTACTAACTAAATCCCTACGCCAAGCCTTATACATCGGACTTATTATGGCGTCTTTCCAGTCTCTAGGAAGTCTGGACTGTCTCAGAGACATGTCAGATAGTATCGCTACTGGTTCAGCAATTTCATCTGATATGGTTTTCATAATCCTAGGATGAATATCATCAGGACCACTGGACTTATCAGGTTTGAGATGCTGAAGTAGCCTTAAAACAGTACCTTTCTCAATGACTAAAGGGTCCAACAGCGAGCCGCCGCGATCGCAATTAATCGTTGGTCGTTCTTCATTACCGATGGAAAACACTTTACTGATAAAGCTTCAGCTTTCTCGGTATCATTTTCTGCCAAGATTAACGGATTTTCTCGCATGGAAAGTGATAGATTTCCATCGCTTCTCTGAGTTCGCCTTTTTATATACGAGAATAACCGTTTCGGACTATATCTCGAATCCCTAACCAATTGTTTTTCATATGATCATCTAGTCCTACTTGTTAACGCTTTACAGGCATTCCTAATCTTACATTAACTGGATCTGTATTGTTCTAAGCCAGTAGAGATGAACATATTCCAATACTTTTTCCTTCTTCTAAGACGTTTCCTGAATGGTTTAGTTATCCATGGTGGACTTTATTCGGTCTACGCGGTATCAGGTATGGTATGAGCAAGGATGTAACTAAACTAAGCTTGCTTTTAAATACAGACCATGTTTCTTCAACTGATAAGCTAGTATCTACAAACCAATCTGTTTTAGCAGCGCATTCCTGAATAACTGATATGTTAGCTTTCCATACATTTGGGCGGGGTGTAACCTGATCGTATCACATGACCCTAGTTCTAAACGTGAATGACAAAACAGCGTGATCGCTGTTCACTAACGGTGTAAGAATATTTAGATCGACAATATCCTCAGTATCATGAGTCATTACCAAGTTCAACAGAGAAGAACCCTGGTTAGAACCAAAACGTGTGGGTTTGGATACATGCTGCACTAGTGCATGCTCCATTATTGTCACCAGGATCCTACTATCAAAGGGGTTTATAGATCCTTCCGTGGTCACCTCATTCTAACTAATATCAGGTGCATTAAAGTCCCCTATTATCAAACATCTGGTATTTGCATTCCAAAGATGAATGTGCTCTAAAATAAAGTCATCAGCTAAGCAGACCGAACTGCGATAGATGACACCGAGCATAAATGTACTACACTCGATAGCCAATTTACAGCTAATGACTACACAAGTACCGCTATCATGGGATTCGCTAGCAGAGGAGTGGATATTTATATTATTGGCTATATATAACAGGACACCACCTCCTTTTCTACATCTATGTCTATCAATCCTGGGGTAATGGTATCCGGATAATTCTGGAGTAATGTCTAAGTCATGGACTAACCAAGTTTCTGCCACTGCTACAATGAGTGACTTTAATCTGCCCAATAATGCTTCTAGTTCATAGAACTTATTTCTTAGACTACGAGCGTTGGCAGATAAAACTCCTAAGTAGAACGGCCTATCTACACAGGCCTTGGTAGAATTCACTTCCAAGACCTGACTATCCGAAAATCCACTAGCCGGAGATTTTCCTCACCGTTTTGCCGACGGGTTTCTAGTTCAGCTAGTGCCCTCTTCCTTTTTATTCTATCTTTGAGAGACAGTCAGTAACAACGTAGAACTTCGTACGTACGTACATCAGTTCGAGTTGCCACACCACCTTAACACAGAGATGCAGTTGTCGATCCAAATCGCGTAGTGGTAGAGGTAGCAAGAGTGTAAGCAGTGATCGGGAAGATTAGGGTTCGGAGATGTTATTTAAAGAGTATAATTCAGTGAAATAAATTTGAAAAGAGGAAAAAAGGGACATGAAGAATTCAGAAGATTAGAATTCGGGAGAACACAAAGAGTGGATGCACCTGCGCCATTGCAAACGATTTTGAGCCATGTCATTCAGGGTCTCTAACCATCGGTTGCTATCATCTCGCGGTCCCCAACCAGGTAGTCTATACCTATCAACATGACTCAGACCACTTGTCAGTGACTTCATGGACTTGAGCCATGTTTTGGTCTGGCCGCCCCTAGCTTTCTTCCAATCTACTCCCATACCACTGAACATCGCACGTCGAGGCAGTCGGTCGTTGGACATACGTAACACGTGTCCCAGCCATCTCAACTGATGAAGTTTCACTACTTCATCAATTGATTTGCCATCCTTACCTAGTACCCGTTTCCTAACAACTGTCTCTTTGAGAGACATATCGGGTCTAACTCGGATGTCGGAATTGTCGTGACAACGAACGCTACTTAATAGGAGATCCCGTTGCTTCTCCTATTCTAGGATTACCTTGAGTCTGCATGGTCGGGGTTCGACATTGTCCTCAGTCCACTTGCCTATTCTAACCAGTTTTTTGGCCTGAACTCCTTTGGAGTTATCTGGTAAGATACTACGAATATATTCTCCCAGCTTCTCTAAATCATGTGCATGTCTGATTTCGGGATCAGGATCGTTTGACTCCAGCAATTTGCTCACAACAATATTCGATGATATTATATTCTTCTTCTCAGTCACGCCAGGGTGGGTTTCTCTCTTACTATCAGATTTTGGTAGTGCATTTTGTGACTCACAATGGGAGTCTACCAGTGACTTGCTAACCACCTGCATACTGCCTATAACGTTTTTCGTTTCTTTTTCTCCGTACTGTAGTCCATTTTTCATCCCTCAGAACACTGGGACTGTTTGAAGCAGTGACGGTTTAATCCAGATCTTCAGTTTCCACTAGAGGTACATGGTTACCAATGTCAGTGTCAGGTGGTACTACCCCCTCGTTAATGTTAACGGAGACTTCACTTTTCCATCAGTCAAAGTCGGTTGTTTAAAGCGTCTCCTAACAGCAGGTACTACACTGACACATTCGTCACTGTCAGTGCTCGTGTTATCAGCGCGTGCGCCATCGTTCTTCTTACAGGCCAAAGCCAATAGGCTTATAGCCTCCTGTATTAGTAATGTCTTATTTGCACAGCAAAATATGCAAATCCAATGTGAATTAGGCTTCGAACATCTTTTGTATGCGGTGGGACTTAAACGGGTGCACATCTTCTGGAACCACTAGTCGTTGATCACCGGCTACCATGGAACTGACTATCGTAACCAATGGTTGGAGACTCTTGGTGACATGGCTCAGAATCGATCACAATGGCGTCGGTGTATACACTCCCTGTCTTCCCTTAAACTATGAGATTAAAATCGCTTCATATCTTTCTTTCTACGAACTAATTCTTTCTGCTTGTACTATATCTCTATATGCAATCTTTCTCTCATATATTACCACCTTTTACCTAACCACTGTTATGAATCCGGTGTTCATCTTGTTGTGTTGATGCGGTATGGCAACCTGGACCGATGCACATATGTGCCTGGTCCTACGTTGTAGCTGACTGACTGACCATGGGACTGCATCTCTTCACGATGCTCCACTGCCTTGTGGATCAGATCTTCAGGTCGAAGGCTCGGGGAGTGGCCCTCTAAGAAAACCACCTGCTTCGGTTTCGGCGCCCGGGCAGTATCATATCCCTCACACAAATCAAATGAGATTTGTGTGGCGCATATGTATTTGGTGCCTCTTTGTACCAATATCTATGTGTTAAAATAAATAAATAAACATCAGCCATATTGTGGGTCTACAAATCCTACTGTCATCCACAAATAACAGAATATGTTGCTTAGCAACTCCAAATATATAGTCTCTGTAAAGCAAAAGGGGGTTCTAGGGTTATTATTTGGAGGACTCCGTTGGTTACCAGTTCCTATTGCGGCAGTACACAGTCTGCTTTCACTCGTTTGCACTTTTCACTGAGAAAGTTATTCCAATGACTAACCTCATGATTCGTACCAGAACGTACTAGTTTTCGATCCCTGACCTAGGCGAGATGCCTTGTTGAGAGCTTGACTTAGATTTATAAAAATTACGTATACCAATATATCTATTTTTCATTGCATTCTAATCTCTTGCAATGAGAAGACTAGTCAAACATGAAAGAGCTGTTCTACAATTTTGTTTTCTCCTGACTAAATGATTTTTCCTATCCATGTGACGTAGAAAACTGCTCGAACAATTTTCTCACTTTGCTGATATAAAGATTGTAATTTAAACTGATGCACATTATTCCCAGGTTCTGTGTATTTTACATCTATGTCGTAGTTTACATCAATTAAATCTTATAACTGTTTGGTTACCATCAACTCAATGACGTTCGACTAAGCTACTTGTTGGTTTGCTTGTACTTCTGCTAAACTATATTTGAGTGTTCCCCGGTCAAGTCCTTAGATTTGTTTTCTGTAGTGCAATCGAATTGATAGATTCTTTCAAAGTCCCTACTGATATACGGAATAACTTTATTGACTTGCTGAAGAGTCCATCCTATAAGATTGGCGTATTGTATTGCGCCAGCTGATACGTGAAAACGTAATCTGTATCTCTTAAAAATTACGATTTTTTTCACCTATGCTCGTTTATTTTGTATGATATTGACAGTAAATATTTTACTTGGGTGCTTTTCAATTTTAGGTTGTAGTATGATTTGTAAAAACCATCCTTGGTTATGATTCGACGTATTATCGATTCAGTTTCTTTACTTGTTGATTCGGAGCCTCAAAATAATATGGAACTACTTACAAATAAGGATTACAGTGTAAACGCTTCTATGGACGATGACTCTGATAGTGTTAACAAAGATTCCTCTAATCGTCTGTCAGATATGAGTTCTTCATTCACTGGGCGATTAGAATCATATTTATCCAATGGTTGCATCAATGAATGCTCTTCCAGTTCAATCGCTCTATCAAATTCTAATTCTTGTTATATCGCTAGTGAAGACAATGAATGCTCCCTGTTTAAAACTCCCAAAAATGAGGCGACGGTAACTCTACCTGTTCGTTCTGTAAGAAACCAGTCACAGTCTCCTGGTATGGTTGATTTAAGCTCCATTCCTCTTCGTTCACTTCCAGGAGGACCAAGTTTGCAACATCCGAGAGATAGACTTAAGTTGAACACTCGAAAAAAAGAAACTTATAGGTGTCAAAATAATATTAAGTCCTGTTTAACTGCTCCAGTTTGCCGAAAAACAGAGCAAGATAATGGTGATTTCAAAACAGATGGATGTTTTTCGCAAGCAGATCCACTAGTAATGGAACTTGAGTGTTACATTCTACCATTCTATCGAAATTTGAAAGAATGTGAATTAAAACTACCTATTAAGTTTGCAGCAAAGATTTATCGTGGTATACTGAAACAAGTATGTTACTTCTTGTTAGCTTTCGTGTTTATGTTTTTAAGTAAAATTTTAATATGCTTTTTGTTGAACAGCTGTTAAGAGTAAAAATATAGTTCGTAATGAATAAATTGTGTCAAACGGTAAGCTAGTGAATATATTTAATGGTTAGCATCATATTTCAATGCTTGAAATTATCTCCAGTTAATTACCATTCGCAACTCTGACTCCGATATGATAAACGAGGCTATTTCTATTCCTTTTCTCTCCTTGTTAACTAGAGTAAGAATTTCAATTTTGTATAAAAAGCTTATTCGATAAAAACTAGAAAAATTAAATAAATTTTATCAATTCGAATAGTTTTTATTGAGCCCGAAATCACTGAATTAAGTAATACAAAAACAACTCATTGACAATCAAATAACTAACTATAGTCCTATTTGGTGAAGACGCTGATAAAATGCAGTCTTTTGGTAGCACTAAGCAACAATGCCAGAATGTTTGGAATGCGCTTCTCTCCTTCTAAATGCAAGTTGTTACTTCAGGACTGGTCTGCGTCAACACCTGAACTAAGGATAGGGAATGAAGTAGTCGAACGCGTTGACAACTTCACTTATCTTGGAAGTCTGATCAGCCCTAATGGGTTGGTATCTGACGGATTCGAAAAGCTCGCTTGGTTTTTGCTAACTTACGTCACCTATGGCGAAGGCGAGATATCCGTCTATCAATAAAAGGACGAGTATACTGCGCGGCGGTCCGTTCTGTTTTAATTCACGTCGGCGAGACATGGCCATTAAGAGTAGAAGATACTCGTAAGCTACTAGTATTTGACCACAGATGCCTTAGAAATATTGCTGGCGTCTGCTGGGATAACCGGGTAAGTAATAGTGAGGTTAGACGCAGGGTATTAGGAAATGATGGTAAATCAGTTGATGAAGTTATGAATCTTCATCGACTGAGATGGTTGGGCCACGTGTTACGTATGCCTGAACACCGATTACCACGACGTGCAATGCTATCCGGTATTGGAAATGGTTGGAAGAAAGTAAGGGGCGGCCAAACCAAAACGTGGCATCAGTGCTTGAAGACACTAACCTCTAGTCTGAGCCATGTTGGTAGATGCAGACTACTTGGTCGGGGTCCGTGTGACTATCGTAACCAATGGTTGGAGACTCTAGGTGACATGGCTCAGAATCTATCACAATGGCGTAGGTGTATACACTCCCTGTCTTCCCTTAAACTAAGAGATTAAAATCGCTTCATATCTTTCTTTCTACGAACCAATTCTTCCTTCCTGTACTATATCCTTATTGCAGTTCGTCTTTAAATATTACCACAACTGAATTAACTACTTTTATGAATCCGGTGTTCATCTTGTTGTGTTAATGAGGTATGGCAACTTGGACCGATGCATATATATGGCTGGTCCTACGTTGTAGCTGACTGACTGACTTACAAATAACTAACTATATACTAAATAAAGTGACACAATCGAGAATTCACTTAGTCAATTGCGATATTTCACTCTGAATTAATACAATGAAAATTCACTAAAATTTAGGTGGATGTAGATTTTAAGATTGATTCTCTTTGTCATACGTTTTATTTGGAGGTATAGCATCAATATATATATATATATATATATATATATATATATATATATATATATATATATATATATATATATATATATATATATATATATATATATATAGAGTGAACTGGTATCAAATTTGCTTATCTTTCATTTAGCTTGCAGCTGAATATGAACTTTTGGTACTGTCTGTTGGGAAAGATAGATTACATGATGAATGTTTAGTTGTTCGTAAACGTGGCACTTTACAGCAGAAACAAGAGTTAGAACTGGAAGAACGAAAAGAAAAACAACGTCAAAAACAATTAGGAGAAAAAGAACAGGCCAAAGAAACGGTAGATAAGAAGGAAGAAATTAAAATTGGTAATTTTATTTTATTCTATGTCACTTAAATTATCAATTGATTAACGTAAAGTGTACAACTGAGCCAATTGAGAACGAGAAAACTTCTTCAAGCTTATGGCGTAAATATCAGAATAGGGTTGGGGTTTTACTCAGTAATTGACATATTAGTTATGATACCAGAATTCTTAATCACATATCTGGATCCTAATTCAATTTAAATATTTTTTACGCTAATTACGAATGTGAAGAATCTCTTTGATTTCATCCCTTATTACTTAAGCATCGAATAAAGGCCGATTGTGTCTAATTGTTTTGTTGAACTTGAAGTTTAAAGTTGTCTGTAGTGTATGTGTGCATCCCATTTATCCTCCAGTTTTAATTTTATGTATATGTACCTCAGAATCTGTCACATGTATGTATCAGTCCAAATTTCTGAGCTTCATATCAATATTGAACAAAATCGAAAACAAAGCAGTTACAATCACTAATGTCAATGGTACTAGAAAAACCAAGATTTAGATGCGTAATTCAAAATGAAAGGGTGAAATCGGGAAGTAAAAAATGAAACTCATGTTGTTACCTGATGACATATACCCTATACACATGAATAAATTTTTTCATCCTACTCAGTAAGCGTCGAAAATGTTATTGTTTTATTTAATATCATTTTAGTTTGTATGGTATTATTAATATTCAAAAGAATTGTCCAAACCAACTTCATTATTCTTATTACCTCTTGTCATGAGAAGTTTTAGTGGTTAGAGTGTTCAGGTTTCAGTTACTAGTTCCCAGGTTCAAATTCCTCTCCATCTACTTCGGTTTGGGAAACCGAGTAGTATCATTGGCTCTCATACTCAAGTATCTAATGACTGAGTTTTTAATGTTTTATGAGTACCACTCATAGCGAACACGAATAAGAAAGAAACCTTTCTAAATTTTTACGTAATTGGGGCTCAGTATCTTAAAAAATCTCCATTTTCATGTCAAGTCTGAATATTACCCCCACTTAATTCATTTTAAATAACTCTGTAGTACATCTGAGTTTCATAATAGGTATGACTCAATGTTTATTAACTTACTAAGTTGTATTAACTTTCAGTTCTCAATCACCAGATCAATCTGTTATATCGATGTCAAGCGTAAATAACTTGTTAATTATGAAATGTGAAGTGGTAGCTTAGTAATTAATGTTCCCGAATTACTACCACTGGATTGGAGGTTCAGACCTTGCTCCGTCTATTTCGGTTCTGATAAACAATTAATATAATCATCTCTCAAATATATAAAGTGTGGCTCAAAACCGCTCAAGTTGACCTACATTTGATTACCGTGTTACATTGATTAGTTGGTCACAAAACTGTTTTAAGAACCTATCATTAAATCCTTCTATAATAAGCTTTTTCGGTCTATAGCTGTCATCCAACCTGTTAGGAAGAAACAATAAAATGATACAAAACTTGGTTAATTATTATTTAGTGAGTGTACACATTTTAAGGAGTAATCCTAATGGTAAGCTTTCTTCTGACCTAATAATCATTATTATATAGTTTGTCAGTCAAAGGTAATGATCAATTTCCTGCAAACATATTCCTCAGTCTTCTCAAAAATATCTAAGTCGTATACTTGTTGAGATTTATAAATTTTATTGCGTTAAGTAGTCAGGTAAATTACGGGTCTGAATAATAAAGATACCTGTAACCACCTTCGACTGTCCTGATTGACGATTTGAAAGCGTTTAGTTTTGTATGAAATATTTACAATAATGGAGGTTTGTAAAGGTTTCAACGTTGGTTATCTGCAGAGATTTTATTTATTTCAACACATAGATATTGGTACAAAGAGGCACCAAATACATATGCGCCACACAAATCTCATTCGATATGTGTGAGGGGTATGATACTGCCCGGGTGCCCAAACCTAAACAGGTGGTTTTCTTAGGGGACCACACCCCGAGCCTTCGACCTGAAGGTCTGATCCACAAGGCAGTGGAGCATCGTGAGGAGATGCAGTCCCATGGAAGCCGGTGACCAACAATTGGTTCATACGCCATTTGTTCCCGCAGGATACTGGAGCCTATGTGCACCATTGGTTTGGAATCCGGTTAAAGCGCCGGGCATTCGCTTTTCGTCCTCTCATTTTCGTAAACAATAGTAATGCCACGTGAAGGCAGTGAGTAGAACTTCCCTGGTAGAGGCTATATACGCGTGGCCATGTGAGAGCATTTCGAGAGGGAGAGCGGACTCTCCCCACCCTCGGCCGTACCAGGGCATTTGGGGGCTATCGAAAACATAACATAAACTTCCTAAAAACGAAATAATAAAAAATATTCATCCATAAATCTTCAGGCTTTATTCATCCTTATTTCAGTAATATTTTCCTTTAATTTATTTTTAAAAAATATTAGAAAAACCACAAACCAGTAATGGAAACTTGAATGGACATCAAGAAATGTGTTGTCAGGCTAGTTTTGATGAGCAAGGACGTGAGGTAAGACAGTATTCCGTGTTAAATTTCATAATATAAATGTTTTCAAAGTCTTATCATATTTACTTTCGGAATCATGGATAAATTATTATTATTCAATTAGAAATAGAAATATACTCTGACAGAATTGTTCTTTTAGTTTTCAGCGTAGAAACCTCGTAAAATAATATTTTTATTAAGTAACTGAAAGAATTTCAAGACTTTTGTTTACTTCATTTTCAAGAATGTTCATTTCAGATTTTTTACACAAGTAAAAGTACTCAGTTGGGTATAAAATGAGAAGGATTACTGTTATCATTTGAGTAGGAAATATTTTACTCAGTGTTAAATAATTAACTTAATCTAGTGATCGATTCCAATTAGGACAGCTTTTGGTCATCTGTTGACTGTATTTATTAATTTAAAATGAATAAAAACCTATTTCTGTCTAGATGAAATTTGCCATGATTAATTCTCACCAAGTCCTAGAAATTCACTAGTGGATCTCTGAATCAGTCAGTCATATATATACCTGAAATAAGCATTATATATTGTAAAAAAAATGTTAACAAAATAAAATGCAGAAAGTAGGAAACAATATCAAATTCAATCAGTGCTAAACATAAGCAATAGGGCTCAATTAGAATCAATGAGATCAAACAATGGAACTTTTGGACTTCATAGATTAATGCCAATCTTGGAGGTAGTTTTTGCTTTACAAGCATTTTTCACCACTTCGAAACTTCCTTCAACTTACTACTCAAAGATATCGTTTGTAAGATAGTAGCTTCCTACCGATACATAAATATAATAAATTGGACAAAATAGTTTTTGAAACTCACATCTAATTCTAATAGATTCAAGCAATGTAAACTGTGACTAACTAGTGGGGGAATACAGACATAACGTTATAAGTCTTTTATAATAGAGGATTGTAAATGACTTCTCACTCTGTATTTATATTAATATACTTTTGGTTATGGTTATCTTGAATAGTCAGGCAAATGCGTCTCGTCCTTTTGATTTATGGGCAAACCGCATTCCGTGTAGTGTCCCTATAAGTATGAATTTTCTAAGTGTCTTACATAGTTTATATTTCATATTTGTATTTTTAGAAAGTTAGACCTATTACCGTCCCCATATTGCGTTGCAACCTTACTTTCTGCTCTATTGAAAGATTTGTTGTAAATAAGATGCATGATTTAGATCATTACACAAATTTCATGTATCAGTAATACACATGGCGTTGAATATTATTAGTTCGACTGTATATGTCTACTCTTCAATTAACAATGAATATATATTTTCAGTATGGGGATTTGTGGAGATTGTAGTATTTTCACAGTTGAATTCACAAGTCAATTTAAACTAGACCACTATATTAGGACGAAACAGTCATTCCAGGTTTTCAATGGTGATCTAGCTTAGATTGACTCGTAAATTCAATTGTGAGAATATATATTTACAAACAAAGGACTTAGTCAATTACTTATTATTCACTCATCACATTGATATTACTGTAAGGTGTTTAAATGACAATATTAAAAGAGGAAATATATGCTTAAATTGTCACTAATGTTGTTTTTTTTTATAAATTTTTTCAAGATATATGTTTTTAGAACAAATTTAGTTACATCATTAATTAGTACTATATCAATTTGTTAAATCTATTTTCATAATATCATATTCTCTTATCATCATGTTATATAAATGGTATTTATTTATTTAGATTGGTCGAAAACGTGCTAAACGTATACGTAAAGAAAGAGAACGTAGAAAACAAGCTGAACGAAATAAAAAAATTATTCATAAAATTGATTGTTCAATTCAAACTATACCAGAAGATTATTGGTATTGTTCTTGGTGTAATGAACATATTCCACCAATAAGTCAATGCGGACATGAAGCAATTTGTCGTGCCGGTGTTCAACAAAAACAAATTGAAATTGAACTTAAAACTCGATTAAAACAACATCAATTACATATTGAAGCTAAAAAACGTCAACGTTTAGGTCTACCACCATTGAAGAATGAACAACAACAACATAATAATAATAGTAAGAAGAAAAATGAATTAATATTTCATTCACGTAGTCAAAGTCATAATCATCGTGATACAAAATCAGATAAATTAAATTCAACTAAACAAGAGGTTAGTTAATCGTTTAACATTGTTTTGAATATCTTTTCTTTTTAATAACTATTTTCTTATGACATCCCAATAAATAGAAGATTGTACAGTATTTAAACTTGTGTTCATTTAATTTCGGTTATTTATTTACTCTGAAGAAGTGGCTTACATTATGTCACAAAACATCAGAAATACAATTTTCCTATTCATTGGGACATCACAAATAGTATATTTATCATTAACTTTCTACCTAATGCTCTATTTATTTAAAACTATTAATTCCAATCCTGATATTGATATTGTAGTGGCTTAGTCTCGTCTATCGATCACCTTGATAACCGTTATTATATAAATCTAAACGGTGTTTGAAATCAGAAGGTAATAAGAAGTGGTGACTACATTTTATTAGCAGATAGCACAGACAACAAATTTATAAGCACATCGAGCGAATTTGAAGCAGAGAGGCGAATGTGTGTGTGGAAGCAAATACAGAGGCGAATTTGTAATCAAATCGAATCAATGTGCAACTAGGTAAGTTAAAGGCTAATAACAGGATTCGAGATCATATATACATAGGGAATAGAATGATTCACAGAGCGATACTTAAGTGATTAAAATTTAAGCTAGAAAGAGATATATGCGTAGGCTGACATGTGATCAAGTGTACATGTATATACAGACAAGATAGTGATCATAATAGCACAAAGAAGTAGACGAATTGTTACTGTTCGAATAACATTGTCTGTTAAGTTAATAAAAGGGCTTAACAAAATTTAACCATAGTCGGAATTGATCGTAGGAGAGTTGCTATAATATAATATCTTTTCTTTTTATTGATGTTCGTTTTAATCATGATTATATTTGTGATTTAATGTTCATGATATAGCTTTTCAAGAAATTATGGTAACATGTTTCCTGTGTGTATGCTCGGTATGCACGTTAGGTATTAATCGTATGATGACATTCATCTTGATGTCTTTAAACACTGTGAAATAGGCAAATTAGTAAATGTAACTATTTTCAATTTAGAGTTTGTATTGTTTCTGTTCTTAACTTTGTAGAATTCAAAAAAGCTTTCAATAATTTACAAAAACAGATTTTCAGTATAAGGTTGTGGAGATTGATATCATGAATGGATAAATGATAGACCACCATTGAAAACCAGGAAGCACTGGATGGCCGTTCCGTCCTATTATAAGACTCCTCAGCACTGCATTCGTGATTCGAACCCAGGACATTCGGTCTCGCGCGCGACCGCTCAACCTTTGAGTCCCGCATGCGGGATCATTAATGCACACTGCCGAGGAGTCCCATACTGGGACAGGACGGTCATCCAGTGACTCCAGGTTTTCAATGGTGGTCTAACATTTATCCATTCATGATATCAATCTAAAAAACCGATTTGTATCTTAACTGTGGTTACACTTTGTATCAGGAAACGTTATTTATTTCAATGTGAATAACATACTAATTGATGTTTTCATGGAAATAATTCAATCTGATAATTTGTTAGGTTCCATGTATACAAAACCACTTTTTACTTAAGTTCGTATTTTGTGTGCACCTCTAGAAGTATTAATTGTATCTTTTCTTTATTTTGTTTTAAAATCTATTATCCTCTGATACATTTGGCTAATAGCTATTCTGTAACACTTTGAACACATTTCTATAACTAAAACATGTATAGAAACAAAAATGGGTATATCGACCTTCGAGTTAAAAGCAATCAACCATTTAATTTTAAGTTTGAACACCACTCGATCTGTTTCGATCTAGAAAGTTTTACTAATCTACCCTCTAAAAATGTAGCTTTTATCTGAATACATGAATATGTACGTAATAAATGAGTCACATCCAACCTAGCACAATAAACGAAAGTTCACTATTTTTGAACACGAATATGTATTCAGCCCAAACATTTTTGGGATGGTAGAGACGATTTGTAGTTTAGAAACAGGATGTTAGTTATTGTCCATTTGACTTTATTCTGATATTATCATTATTTAACAGGTTTTTAATTGTTAAACCTTCCGAAGAATTACCCAGCATCATTTGTACTCAAATAGTTGGTTAAACACAAACAATGGTACATCAAAATATATTTGTGCCACACAATAAAAATGAGATTGTGAATAGATAGAGAAAGGAACGTGAGCATAATAAAAACGGAACAAAATTGAGTTAGTGTATGAAAGTGAAAAATAATGACAATAATAATAGAAGTAGTTCAGCTACGAAAAATACGACTAGAAAGAATTTTTACAGTTAACGAAATTACTCTCACTTATATGAAGAAAGTAAAATAAGATTACAGCAGAACTCCCACTGGCTTCTATTCTGAGCCGTGCCTGATAATGTCTATGCATAATCATATATATAAGTGCTTTTATTAAAATGAGCACAAATATCAGCTTCTCACTACTACTACGAAAATATATACTCAAATGATCGCTTAACTTGATGATTTTCTTCATTTCATCACAAAATTAATTATCTTCGTCATTTTAGAATATTATACAATCTTTAATTTGAACGTTAATTACTACACCATGGAAAGGTGCACAAACTACCTTGTACACTGTACTAATGGATAATTTTATTCCTGGAGGTTATTATTCAAATTGTACACCGAAAAAAACCATCAAAATGTGGAAGCCAGAAAATGGTTTTGGAATAAAACACATGAACTATTGAACACACAGTGTAATAGTTAAATGTGAATGTTAACATATGTTAACTGTGTAAACAGAATTCTGTGTTCATTTTAATGATCGTATTATGACAAATTTGGCAAGAAATCAGTTAATATAATATGGCGATCTTCACTTTGGACACATTGATGTGAGTGAATGGATTAGTTAGAAGTTTGTCTATGTTTTCTGCTTGATTGCTCGACATTGGATATAATGTCGGTATTTCGAAATTTCTCAAAATAATCGAAAAACAAAGGAATTCAACGTTATTAAACTTCCCTGAATCGACTATATTTATTTACTCATTTACCTAAACACATGAACATTGGTACAAAGGGACATCAAAATATACGTGCGGCACACAGTAAAAATAAGATTGTGAAGAGATGGAGAAAAAAAGTGAGTACAACAAAAAGGAAACAAAAATGAATAGAAATTAATGTCTGGAAGTGAAAAAAAATTGGGAAAGCATTCCAGTCAAGAAAAATACAACCAAAAAGAAATCTTTCAGTCAAAGAAGCTCCTCTCACTCATATGAAGAAAGTAATTTATAACAGGATCGCCACTGGCTTCGATTCTGAGCCTATTCTGATAACATCTCGAGACACTATGTTACACCATCTTTAAGAGCCCTACCGGGGATTCGTGAAGGACCAACAGATGCTAGTTTTGTAAAGTCTTCTTTCATAACACGATACCATGTCACATAATGATAACCTCTCTACTTTTATAAATCAGTCCCAGTGCCGGTAAATAATACACGATGTGGAATTCGCTGGAATGACACTCGTAGTGCATATCCAAGCCACCAAAGTCGGTTTTCCAAGATGGTGACACCAGTTAAATTATCATCACTGTGCTGGAACACACTTTGCCAAACCTCTTCACCACTAACATGTTGTTGCCAGTGAATGTCATATCATTCTGATACAACGACGACCAAACACAGAGAGTCGGTCGACATTCTCAACTTAGAGAGGCCAGGTTTTACAAGCATAAAGTAAAACTGTTCTCACCAACACATTGTAGATCCAACCTTTTACAGACAGACTAACGAAGGCGCCAAAGATGGCCCAGACTGGCATACGCCACATTGACGTGGACTGGTTTCATCAGTCACGCTACCACCAGGACTTACACAGATATCTTCAAATACACGAACTTCTCAACTACTCTTAACTGCCCACTACCAAGAGCGAATGTAAGTACAGGGTCTTACCAGTCTTGTAAAAGTAAGTTGCGCTTCGAAGGAGCAAAGCATATCCCATACCTACAGACACTGATTGCCAACTGCTGAAGTACGAATTGCATGGCTTGGGTATCATCGGATAATAAGACCATATCATCCATATGCTCAAAGTCTTTCTCCAAGTAACAAATCCACATCACCATTACATACATACATCAGAGCTGTTTCCAGAACATCATTGATAAAAGCTACACTCAAATACAATATACCTAGGAATATTGGTATTGTACTTGAAATTATTAGGTACCAAGTTTTGTTTTAATAGAATAAATCAACTCAACGTATGTTTAAAATTATAGAAATTATGATATATCTATCATCAATTTCACTCAGATTTTTATCTAAAGTGAGTTTTGAATATGTATCCTTTGTACAAATTAAGCTTAAAATAGTAGATCAATTAGATATAATATTATTTTCTCTTATTTCATTTTACTCTTAATTGTAGAAAAAGTTAACACTAGATATCAATAATCCAACGATAAAAGCAAAAACCGCATCAGCTAAACTCGGTGAAGTTCATCCTAATGATGTAGAAGCAATGATAAAACTTATGCAACGTTTATGCACAGAATCTAAATGTAAATTATTAGCTGATAGTGATGGTCTATCTTTATCGAATAGTAAATGTCCAAAATGTAAACGTGCTTATTGTCTTGTACATCGTCCAATTGGAAAACATACTGCTTGTCCATTACACTCAGAACTAACTACTGAACAATGTGATGGTACTACAACATCTATAGCTTGTGGTTGGGATTCAAATGAAAAAAAGGAAGCATTAAAACTTGCTTTACGTGAACGTAAAGCAAAACTAAGAGAGTTACGTGAACGATGCTGAGAAACTAAACTTTAAAAAAAGGATTTAAAGGCTGTGATTTAGTAAAATTTGTTTGATTATATTTTCTTATTTGACATATTTACATTAACCCTTTGTAATATTGAATTTAGAAATATTTTTTAAATGACTTTTCTATCTTCATAGATTTTTTAAAACAATTTCTTGTAACTTTAATTTCAGTAGTAAAATTTCTTTTTTTTTCTTACAAATTGTAATGTCAGTGAATGGTTGATTCGATATATGTGTGTGGGGAGGTTTTGTTCATAAATTTAGTATTGAATAAGCGTTAATGTACAATCACTCATAAATTGAATCAAACAGTTATAGATTGACCGAAAATTATTCACTAAACATGGTGAGTGGTTGGGATTAACAAACTATATTTAGGGGAAAATAATTGAAAGGTAATTACATTTTCAAAGTTCAGACGATGATTAGTCAGTGTATTTGTTGTTAATTATGAGTGATGTCATGGATTTTTAGTACGCCGAAGATCCATTGGTTGTTCAAATAACTCGGTTGAACCTCCAATAAACTGATACTCGGATAATATATCTCAGTCCCATTTTTCTCAACGTAGTAATCGCTTTAGTCAGTATCGAGGTTTGAAGTAAACACAGTGATAAGTACCACTTCACTTGGTGAGAATCCACAAACAGCAGATTATAAAAAATCATAGTTCCTGGTAGGGAGTAAACACATCATGAGAGCAGATTGCAGTTTTATTTTGGACAAACCATCTGTGTTTCATGATGCAGTCTAAACTATTGCTGTCACCAAAATGTTGAACATGCGCTCAAACGGATGTGGACACCAACAAGAAAATAAATTGCCTTTCATTCTTACAACAATCTAGGGATTACTACAAGGTATGTACGCATAATACACGATGGATAGTTAGCTTTGTTACAGTTAAATCATACCTTAATATTTAGTATAAAGTGAACATCTGATCAAAATACTTAAGATTAATAATACCGCAGTTTAGTCGAAATAAACTCAAATATTGCTTTAGTTTTCAGTTACATCAATATAGTCCCTAATAGATAGCGGACACTTTTGTAACTTTGTGCATCACACCACCTATTCGTTTCGTTCAATGTAAAATTCGTATCCAACAGAACTAGTTTCATACATTCTAAATTCGTAATAGCTACACCATAACCGTCAACTACATAGTTACATTAAATTTGTATGGATAAAATGAGTCATTACATTGGTTATACAATACTATATCTAGTCAGTTGTAAAGAAAAACTATATCCGAGATAGCCTTCTCGTATAAATAAGTTGTTTAGTAGCCACCTGTTTTATTTGGATCTGAATATTCCTTTAATTAGTTTTGTGTTATTCACAATCATAACTCAAACTGAATACACCACAATGTTGCAACTTGTACCCGATTCATATTGGAATTAAGCGTTGTAAAAAAAATCTAGAATTTCTTGCTATCATCAATATACACAAATTCAATGCTAAATCATTCTTACTTTAAAAGTCCATCTTTATCTAGAATACTTAATTTTAACGTACTTCCTGCTTTATATTTTGGTAATCATTTTATATAGGACAATAATTGTCAATTCATTTATTTTATTCTTTTATATTTTACAGTATATCATTCCTAGTTGATTTTATTCTGATAGTACTTTTAACGCTTTTCTTAGGTACCAAGTTCTTACGGATATATTATTTATAGTGCAACTTAACTAGTTCACTTTAGCTAAATTGTTTGATTCCGATACGTGTAAACCAATAGTCTTTGAAAGCATATCATTTTGTTGTTGAAGAAGAAATAGTGAAACCTTTTTTCATTGTGGATAATCTGTTGCTTTTGTTCCTATTAGTATTACATAAAAATAAGTACATCCGTTACTTATGCCCGTTACCCTTCGTGAAAAAGCATAGGTAGTCGAAAACTAAGTATCAACTAATACTATATATTATGATTAAGGGGAAAGGACCAACAAATATACAGTTTTACAATTGAATAACAATTTTAATGTTATCATTTTAGTCAAGTGATTTTATTAAGAAAAGAAAACAAACCATATTACAATCATAAAAAGTCATTTCTAATACATTTTTGTATTGAATACACTGAAGAATATACATTGAGATTGGATTAACTGTTAAACGTTAACTTTGAGCAAATCCTGTAGATTGTTTATTGAATGATCGAGAAGGAGCGAAACCCAAGATCTTCTGTACATTCTTTTAAAAAAACGTAAAATTTATAAATCTAATAAATTTCGGTTTTATGAAATTAACAATCAATTACTAATACATTGTAACCAAGTGGATCGCTGACTCCAACTTCACTTTATCTTATCAACTGAGTAAAATCATTAAACCTTATATGAAAAAATTATGGATCAAAATAAAGTTGTACTTGTGATTACGGGGTTGTATTGAATTATTGTTTATTAACATAATATTCGTATTATCTGACATTTTATCCATTTCAAAAATGTTATACATATATTGAAACTACGAGTGATAACCTTGTAGACATCAGTTGTTTAAAGTTAATCTTTACTATTAAATGAGAAATTAATTTTAGGGTGAAACAATCGATTCTAAGAGCAGATTTTTTTAGTATGTCTCCTAAATTTACTCACTTTCCATACATATCAGGAAGGCCTGTCTATATTATAGATTATGATCTTATCTAGCAACATATTTTCTTATAGAGCTCAATAATTTACTTATACGAAAACTTGTCACATCATAGACTTGTCAAAATCGAAATCACACTGTACAATTAAAAATTTAACCGATAATGGTTTGATGACTAAATCAAATGAGTAGTCAAAATGGGTTTTTTTTTAAAGATTAGTAATCACAACTAATTACGGCATCAATTTATTCTATCGAAACAAAGTACATTGAACAAAACTTGGATAACGGTTTTTTTTCCCTTTAGCTATATTCCTGGTGAATAACTTATTCTAGAGAGTTCAGTGAACATCTAGGGTTCAAACATTTTAAAATATACTTAATAGAAAGAACAGAATATGGTAAATTAATACATAGAAGAATAAGATGACATGTTTATAATTAGAAACGAATATCAAAATATAAAAGTAGAATAACTAAAGCCCTTTTTATAAAATGGATGGAATGAGATGTGGATGTATTCTCCTAGATATTGAGAACAGTAAAAAGCTACATAAATAATCGTACTTATGTTAATTTCTGTGAAATTACCTGTCGGATTGACATTGTGCACAATATATACACAAAGACAAAAGAAGCATCTGTGAAATCATTGCCCGGGAGATTTCTATGAGATAGTCCTTGAATCCATGAGAAAGGGACAAACGGCAATTTGGCTACAACACGTCCGTCAAACCTAATCAGAAGTATTGCGAATAAAATATTTACAATAACACCAACGAGAGTAATATAATAAATTAGTAAAAAAAATGTAAATTCATTAAACTCACAAACCAAATCGATATTATACTCAAAGAAAATCATAGAAACGTCCATTTTCGTAGTCTATATTAGTAGCTTTAATGGACTTTAAAAATGCTTTGGTGGCTGATAATTATACTTTTTGGATATTCGTTCTGCTGAAAAATTGGAACTAATAGTCAATTAAGAGTTAAACGTTAACACTTAATCCCAGCTTTTATCATATGTGTAACTAAAAATGTCTAGCATTAATAACAAAACTTAATCCTCACGCATATACAACGATAGCTCTTATACTTTGAATTCAACATTATCAAAGCATTATCAACTTACATACTACTGAAAACATTGAATAATGAAGTGAATATAAGTCCGACTGCAAACATAGATTTCATTTTAACCTTTTGGAGTGATGTACTAATTAGAGTAAATTTTACTTGCCATAGATAACTCCCGATTAATGTTTTTGAATCGCTCTTCTTGCTTCTCTGGAGAATATTAAAAATGCAAGTGAAATTAATAAAAATTACCTAAACGCTTTTTGGCAGTGCGATCTATAGCTGACTCCGTAACATCTCGTTGCTTCTCTACTTTAAAGATATAAAAAATAACAGGTCAAAATACTTACAACGCTTAGATTGCTTGTCTACCTCAGCTTTCAGTTTTTGGTATTTTTCTGTTCTATATACGAAAAGCCATGTTAAGCCTACAACAATTAATTATATTTAGAAAGTTATTGCTACACATTTATACCTTCTCCCAAAAATGCTGTGAAAAAAGATATGCATATAATTGAAAGTGTGTCTTGTATCATCTTGTCCCAGTACAAATGCGGGAAGATACCTGTTAAACTACAGAAAAAATAAAACTGGAATTTTAGAGTTAAAATATTTAAGGCAAAGTTAAGAAACATTTATCCATTTAATGTGAAGTATTAACGTCTACACGTCGGTTGCCAGATTAATGATCACTCACCTTAAGCCTAAGTTCTCGCGCAGAACCAATAGTAATGAGGTTTACTAATTGCCAATCCTTTCGTATATACAATAATACAGGATCTTTTAAAAGACAACATTAAAAGTCTCTACTAAGGCACATAATATAGCTCATGTTTAGTGACAGTAAGATAGTTTTTAAGGCTTCAAGGTGAAGTTTAGAACCATAACTATGAACGAACCTTTGCCCTGTCAGGATTTCACGTTTGTTTAACCTAAACTCTACTTCGGGTTATTATTCTTAATGTTTTGAAAACAAATAACCAAACTTTGGTTGCAAAAAAGCGTTTTTTCTAACAAGCCGGAAGTCTTTGACTGATACCAGTTGAATTTAACTGGGTGGTATTCGAGTTGTTTTTACAACTTTCGTTCGATGTTCTGGGTGGCATCTTTTTTTGCTGGTTCCTTAGAGAACTTTTCTGCATTATTTAGTATGAAGGATAATTTGTCAATACAATCTTCTCAATTCATAAGAATGATCCTAGCAATCTTAATAAACTTTGTTCTCTATAAGATCATTTGATAGAGATTTATGTTCCTATTTTGTTAAAGTTTTCGAATTAATGTATTCATGATAGCAATCAGAAACTGGTGTTTTGAGTTACTCGAAATCATTGTCAAACTGGGAGTAAGTCAGATTATTGTTTGGTTGGATTCTCAAATTACGTTCTTATGCAGAGTTCATCAATTTTCGTAGAAATACTACAATATTTTCAACCAAGTGATAACGCTTACATTTGGAATTTAGAATGCTTCCGGGGCACAGATTTGCCCCTAAATACGATGGTACGGCCGAGCGTGGGGATAGTCAGTTCTCTTCAAAACGCTGTCACACGTCCACGCGTATACAGCCACTGCCAGGAAAGTCATACTCACTGCCTTCTAGCGGCGAGTGTTGTTTACGAAATCGAGAGGACGAAATGCGAATGCCCGGTGCTTTAACCGGGTCGGTGAACATAGAGTTCACTTAGGGGAGTTGGAAAACTGATTCCAAAATAATGGTGTACATGGGCTCCATGATCCTGAGAGGACAAATAGCCTATGAACCAATTGTTGCTCACCGGCTACCATGAGACTGCATCTCTTAACGTTGCTACACTACCTTGTGGATTAGACCTCTAGGTCAAAGGCTCCGGGCGTGCCCCCGCCCTTAAGAAAGCCACCTGGTTTGGTCTGGAAACCCGAGCAATATCACAGCCCACACACAAATCAAGTGATTTGTGTGGCGCATATGTATTTGGTGCCCCTTTGTACCAATATTTATGTGTTCAATTAAGTAAATAAAATAGATAAGAATGTGAGAGTAAGTCGAAAGAACACAGGCCAATAATAGGCAAGCTATTTAAATATATTGACGTGAGATATTTCACCTCGCTTACGGAGGTTTTCTTACAGTTTGTATTCTTGATATGATGATTAAGGTTTAATTCACTGGAGACTGAGCGATTTGAGGAGTCTTTTTTCTCTAATTGCTTATGACATCTACCCATGCTTATATTTAGGCCATCTTGTACATAAGCATGTTAACTCATTTGACAAAAATGGTTCCAGTGTCGTAATCAGCCATTGCTCAGCCAATTTGTATCATTGAATATGATATATCGGTTGAAGCAATTTAACCATAAATCAGCTAGTACCTAAACACTCAGTCATCGAAAATCTTAGAATCTTAATTTACAGCAATCCTTTATCTCATTCCAGCACTACATGTATTGCTTCTACAGATCTAGGGTATTTTGAAGAAATCTCTATTCCACGACTTGATTTTCGCACAGCCGTACAAAGTTACTTTCGTACGTCACTGTTATCATTTTCGACAGAAACTCGCCATTGAAAAAGTAGTATATATCGACTATATAACTGTGAATGAAATCTCTGAAACGAAACCTATTATCCACACTTTGTTTTCATTGTATATCTCGGTGGAAATTTGCTGTACATTATTTCTGCGGATTTGTTCGTTAGTTAGTTACTCTAACAGTGTTAGGTTAGGGTTGATGTGGAACATTATACTTCGGTGGCAGTTAAATATTAATTTACCACAAAGCTGCAATCAACCCTCAGACTTCCAGATCACCGCTTAACGAAGTGTACATTTGCTCCTACGAATTATTCTACTTCAGACTTGTTTTGGTTTATTAATTGTCTGCCAGCCACATGTAGTCACCCAACTCCATAAACGTTCTTAACTCATTACGAGTACCCCTTCTATAGCTTATATAACTTCTTTCTACTCTGTTCTTCAGAAGAAACGGCAGGGTATTACCATAGGATTCACACATATATTATGCGACGAATGGCAATATCATCAGTGAAAGCAATCATAAACACTTATGGACGAATAAGGACAGAAATACATGGATGAAATAATCTGATTTCAGCGCAAAATCCATACTCGCATTACAGCTGATGTTAGTTCTTGATGGAATACCTATTAATTCACACAGAAAACTTCGTTATATAAAAACTGTTTATCAATCATGATTGTATTGCCATATTGTCACAAATCGTTCCATAACAGAAAATAACTTTGTTGCTGGCTAAAAAGCTGTTTTAGTACGTTCACATACATCATTTACCCCTGAAAAGGTACGGTAGGAAATCCCTGTTTTAAAATTTTATGTATAATTTTTTGAATATTCCTAAGTCAAGTGGCAGTAAGGCAAGATTTTCGTCGCAGTGTTTAAAATTTTGTCCCAAGAATTTTCTCACCGTAATCAAACATGACTTTGAATAAAGTGAGTATTGTCATTTCTGTTACAATACTAACAAGTAACTGTAAGTTATATGACTTTCCATAACTATAGAAAAATTCACTACGCGTATATTTAGAAAGATTATGAATATTCAGATAAAAAGTCGTGACAGAAAAGCATGTTTAGTAAGGAATCGCAGAACATACTAACCCCACCAACGAAACACGAACTCGGCCGCACAACACGTAGACCAAACTACCCACCTTTCCTCAACCTACGTCAAACGACAATTGTTGTTATGCTGAACTACCGAATTAATGGTTACTGATAATGTTAACATTTAAAAAATGTGTTCGAGAAATAGAAAGATGTCAAATCTTGGATTTTCTTGCGGTGCGATACGGTAATTTCCGTCTTAGCTGTAAAAAAACCCAAAATAAATAGCTCTGTAAGTCTTCAACATTTGATGATGACCACATTAGTTTCAATAAACTTACTCAGCTGGAGGTGCTCGATCACCCATCCGCACCTGACCACGAGTGGAAACGCCGTGTTTAACTTCTTCTGCAACTGATAGCCAGTTTAGATCAGTCACTTCTCGATATATTGACAACCTATCAAACATATCTTCGAATATCCTCACTTTTTCTGATGGTTTCCGACCAACGGACATTCAGTATTTTGGGCAGACAACTGTTTATAAATACTTCTATCAGTATGTTTATGGTTGTGGTAGTTCTTCTAGTTTGAGCTCCATAAAATAGAACTGTCTTGACGCTTGAATTGAATATTCCGACTTTGATATCGACTAACAGTTGTTTTGAGTCACATACGCTTTTCAGCTGAAGGAATACTGTCCTTGCTTTAGCAGTCCTCTCCTTTACGTTTGTATCAGATCCTTCACGTTCATCGATGATACTGTCCAGGTGCGTGAATGCTACCATCTCTTTTAGAGTTTCTTCACCGAGAGTGATTGGTTTGGTCCTCTATATGTTGTATTTCAGGATATTACCTCTTCCCTTGTTTCTGTTGACCCCTATCGATGCAAAGGCTTCTGTCATACTGGTTGTCTTCACCTGCGTTTGTCGGTGCGTATGTGGAGTAAAAGAGCCAGGTCCAAATCATGTAGTTCTCCATCGTATTCCATGCTTCCCATCAGATGTCGATGCCCTTATAATCCGGTCGACCACCAGAAGAACGAGAAAGAGGGAGAGTATGCAGTCTTATTTGACGCCTTCCCTCACTTAGAACGGATCTGTCAGCTGTCATTCATGAACGACGTTGCAATGTAGTCCGTCCTATGAATTCCGTATGATATTGACAATCTCCTCAGCCACTCACTCCATCGTGTCGAAAAATGTTCCTTCTTTTCAGTCTGCCGGCAGTTTTTACTCCTCCAAAATCTCCTTGCAGTTACTTCTATGTCTGGCTTCAATACTTCATCAGGTATATTGTCAGATCCTACTGCTTTCACACTCTTGAGTTGTCTGATAACCATACTGATTTCTTCGACTGTTGATGGAGTGACATTTATAGTGTTTGTGTGATGCTTCGATGCACACTTGATCCAATGGGGTTGGTCGTTTTTCCCTTTTAGTTTCTTTGTAGTGACATTCAGCCCTAACCACATAATCCTTAAAGCTGAAAACTAGACAACTGGGAAAATACGTATTCGACACTTAACGCGGAGAATAACCCAACGATGGACAAAGCGGTAACAATGAATGGAATTAATTCAAGTTGATTGGATGGCATGGCTCGGCCTTGCGGGCGTGATCCCTGTTGAATGTTACTTCATATCTTTCACTCATATTAAATGTATTGTTCTATCTCCAGCCTGAGTGTGTTCTCCATATATTGGCAATTGTTACGATACGATGAGTCAGTGTAGACAATGATGTGACTTCCACGTAAGATCTTATAGATTAGGCAGTTACATCATGACAAATCTACCATTATAGGATTAGGTCTATTATTAGAGCAGTACTAATGTCATAGTAGACCATAATTCCACAAATCTTCCCAAAGTCAATTTCGTGGCACATGCGTACATTGGATGTGGAAACTCGAATGAAGTTTGGTTCCTCAATCTCATTTAAGATCTGATACTGTTTAAAAATATCAAGTCGGTAACTCGTTGGAGAAACAGACGCCATCGCGCCTAGACTGCGTATTTACGAATTAATAATTCCTAATTGACAACCTCTCAATCCTGGTTCCCCTAGGGACGGTGATCATACAACCTTCAGTCTTATCAGCAAAACTGAGATAAGACATCTTACCAACGACAGGCACTAGGATTTCAAACGTTTTGATATATCAGCAATCTACAGCAAGTGGACTGAGAACTTCATCCTCAACTTGATATATACGCCTACTAGGATTTCTTACTGCACATGAACTCCTGTGCTACAAAGCAGTTTGTTACAAAGACAGCCCCCAAGTACTACCGGCAACCTACAGTCATCACTTATCGTACTCTTCGTTTTTAAGCCTCAAAAGACACTGCTGGGCGGAATACAAACGAACTGGTAACAACAACGCATTCAGACAATTCAATCATGTAAAAAACATATGCACAAAGGCAATAAGAGAAAACAGGCCCCAGTACCAGATAAAGCTTATCGACAAATTTGTCTCCAATCCGAAAAACGTACCTCGTCATTTAGCCTCTCTTCAACAAAACAAAACTGCAGTTCCTAACTGATGGGTTCTAATGCTCCGACCAACAGCGACGGTGACGCCCCTGACCTACTGACAGAACAGTACTCTCGGAAATTTCAACCAACCCACACTAACTGCATTGATGAAAGCTTCTCCCGAAATCCCACAGAACGTTCAGAACTGAACCTGAGATCTGACTTTGTGTACCGAAATCTGCAGCACCTAAGAAAAGATATTTCTCCTGGTCCGGATATGGTTCAGTCTGCTATACTGAGGGAAGCAGCTTCAGTCTTGGCAACACAGCTTAGTGTGGTGCTCTCACATTTACAAAGTCAAGGCACACTACCAGAAAAGTGGAAACTAACTCACATTGCACAAATTTTCAAGTGAGGTTGACGCAGCGAACCTTCAAGCTACCGAATAGGAGCACTTCTATATATACCCTCAAAAATTATGGTGTCCTTGATGAAAGACGGTCTACGTGACTACTTACTACCCATAAATTTCTTTCCACCCCAACAGCACGGTTTCAGAAAAGGTCATTCTTGTATAAACAACCTGCTGACCGTGGTAGACAGACGGATAACCATCGTTGATCACAAGGGGAAGGTTGGTATCATAACCCTTGAATTCTCAAAATCTTTTGATAGTGTCAATCATATATGTCTTATTAAAAAGATCAAACGATTAAGTATCAAATCACCTTTAATCGATTGGCTCACGTCATATCTAAAAGCTCAGTATTTTAAGGCCACGGTTAACTTCACCTTCTCTCAGGCCATGGAATGTGCTAGTGGAGTCCCCCAGGGTTCAGCACTAGAACTTCTTCTTTTCTTGATTTAGACAACCGATCTTCCACGACACATATCATCAGATTTATTGACATTCGCTGATGATGTGAAACTCTAGAGAGAAGTACAAAACCAAGAGGATATGGCAGCACTTCAGGAGGATCTAATTCGACTTCGAAATTGGGCAGATGACAGCGGACTTACCTTTAACACTTCATAGTATAAAGTAGTACATCTGAGACATGCTGCAAACTACAACTACAACTTAAACAACCATCCTCTAGAGATAGCCCAAGTAGAAGAAGATACAGGTACCCCTCGGTGTGAAGTCCTACGCTAACTGCGGCACAAATGCCTTCCGAACAAACATTGCACTGGATATTTTGGTGCGTATTCTCGGCAAGTTACATGGAACGACGTTCCACTTAATCCTCAACAGTTTCATTCGTCCCCATTTAGAGCACGGAAACATAGTATTTCCTTCCTCTCTTCAAAAGGACAGGGACATACTGGAAAGTTTCCAACGAAGAGCCAAGAAATCCGTTTGTGGACTCAAACTGGAAGGACGCTATAGTCATTCCTATATTTAAGGACGGTCAGAGACATATAGTAACTAACTACCGGCCTGTCAGTCTAACTAGCATAGTCATTAAGTTACTTGAAAAGTTAATTCGGGTTAAGTTGCTAAGCCACACGGATTTCGTAACAAGTGTTCATGCTTCACTAATTTGCTCATTGCGAGGGAGGATTGGACAGCAGCCCTAGATAACGGTCTGACGGTCGATGTGATATTCATAGATTTTAGCAAAGCACTTGACAAGGTTTCACACGTAGGTCATATGCGGAAGCTCACGAGCTTCGGAATAATAGGTACTGTACATGAGTGGATAAGAAATTTCTTATCTGACCGCAGACAGAGAGTGAGGGTCAATGGAACGCTATCCGATTGGAAGCCGGTCAAAAGTGGTGTACCCCAAGGCACCATCTTAGGCCCTCTGTTCTTCCTTCTCTACGTTAATGAGTTACCGCTGTTACTTAGGTCGTCGACATTATTGTTTGCACATGATGTAAAAATCTGGAGAACAATAAAAAGTGTGGCTGATCATCTGGATCTTCAAGCTGACTCAGACGATTTAGTTAGATGGGCTCGAGAGTGGGGCTTAGAAATCAGTGCTAGGAAGAGTGTACTAATGCACATCGGTCATGGTAATTGTTACCGTTACACTATTGAGGGTAAACCTCTTCCATGCGTTCAAGAGCATAAAGACTTAGGAGTAGTATTAAGTCATGATTTAAAGACAACTACGCATTGCAAAGCAGCCGTTATCAAAGGTTTTCGTGCGTTATGGCCACTTCGCCGAGCGTTCAAGTCTTTTGAGGAGGAAACGTTTGAATTTTATATCCCATATATGTTAGACCACATTTAGAGTACTGTATCCAAGCAGCTAGCCCATGTCTGGAAAAGGATACTAACTCCCTTAAGCGTGTCCAGCGTGTAGGAACGAAATTAGTGAAGGGTCTTTCTAGACTCCCTTACGGTGAGCGTTTAAAACGCCTAAATCTTTTCCCCTTGTCGTATCGTAGGACACGAGGTGACCTTATACTGGCATTTTGCATCTTTAATTATGATTTGGGTGTTAATATGTCTTATCTTTTTGCTCACTCCAGCACTAATAATCTCCGCGGTCATAGCAAAAAGGTTCATAAACCAAGATCTAATAAACTTAAAGTGGGGTCCCGTTTTTCTCATCGAGTAGTCAATGATTGGAACATCTTACCCGAACAAGTGGTATCAGCTCCATCAGTGAATACTTTCAAGGAGAAGCTGGACCTTCACTGGAAAGCAATGTGTCTGGATTAATATAGGTTCATCAACCTACTATCCTTATTAGTGAAGACTGAAGACAAATTCAAATCTTACGAAGAGCATCTATACTCCCTGAAACTTTGCCCATCAGGGTATAGGTGTCTTAAAGGTGACCTAATTACTTACATTATCATTAACACATCTAAGCACCCCCTTGAACACCTACTTAAGCTTAGTCCTAACACAAACTCAAGGGGTCATACCCAGAAACTGGGGACAGAACACAATAGAATGAACTGTAGACATACCTTCCACTCCTTAGGAGTGGTCAAATTCTGTAATTCGTCACCTGCTGAGATAGTTCAAGCGACTTCCCCGAACTCCTTTAAGATAAAACTTGGCCTATTCTCAAGGACTAAGGATAGTATCCTACTATGATTTAACAACTATTTTTCCTTCTGTTTTATCGGTAATATACCAAGGTTCCTACCTCAAGGTATCGGTGATCCACTGCTACTTGAACCCTTTGAATCCGTACACCTGAAAACACTGAATATCATATACGGCCACATTCAAATAGTGCGGAACTCTACTGAGTCATCATGTTTGTATGTCAATTTCGGAGATGATTATATTACCCGTAGCTTAATATGTCATTTATCTTTTCACTAATTACTGTATAGGGGGTTCTGAGTTGTACTCAGCTGTCAGGTTCATGGTACCAACCAGTGGCGAATTTAAGCCAACTAAATGAAATATACCGATAATACATTTCGAAAAGAGCAAGAACAAATACTCTAGCAGAACAGCATGAGTTCGTTTTATTTCGTCGGTTCTCGTCAGCTGCTTACAACATGTGGTATTTAAAATCATGACTACATAATGGGTTTAAATTACTTACATGGAAGGGTGTGGTTGGAAGTTATATTAAAGACACATTAGTATAGTATAGCGAGGGTGTAAATAAATTGAATAGACTGGATATTGTAAATATATAACTTATGTAAACGAACATTCTGCAACATTGATTGTGACAACAGTTCAAACGACCAGAAACAAGTGACTACATAATGAGTAAACGTTGATAGGAATAGAACGAGTAGAGCTCAGTTGATTACTAATTTGGAAGATAGTTGAGATAAAACTCAGTGATTAAATAAATGCAGGAGAAAAAGTTAAGATGCAGTGAGGGGATATTTGTCACCAAGGCAAGGAAAGATTAATGACTATCTGCCTTTGAACACCTAAGTCAGGTTTTTGACGCCTAATAGCAACGACTTCAGCAAACCAGAACACTAGAGTTTGGCTGCTTACTAATCACCTTGAAGGATTTCAAGTTATCGACCTGATGTCCTGTATCAAGATGTTTGGTAATTACACTGTTTGGTCTTTCTTTCTCTTGTTCTGAGGCTTTTTGAAATATGTTCAAAAAATCTAAGATATGCCCTTCTTTCTGTTCGGCCAATGTAGCTGCTGTTGCAGGTACACGTAAATTTGTAAATACAGTTGGCAGTAACATGAAAGGGGTGCTTGTCAGCCTTTGGTTGAGTTATTGAACATGTTATTTTATAAAGAATTAAAAGTTTGGCTTCCGGATAAGTTCTGGCTAGCTCAGTGTTCAGTCTGCTGCTGATCGTGTTTGCAAAGTCATCAACTTTGAAGTTAAGATCTATAGATATTGGTTTTTTATTGACCTTGATTACTTCCGTCTTGTTTTCTTAAGGCTTTTTACATTCGTCAGTAAATTTTTGTGGGTAACAGTTGTCCCTTAGGCATTTTTTTACGTTCATCAATTTTTCCAGTTTGTCGGTGGTACATATTCTTTCTACCATATAAAATAGTGTTTAAAGCAATTCCTTCTTGTAACTGATTGGACAAAGACGATTGAAATTCAGGCAGTGGCACGTTCCACTTTTTCGACATTGCCATAAAACGTAGGGGATATGGGACAGTTCAACTTTCGGTTTGTCGAAAAGTACTTGGAATGGCTGTTCTGCTAGAATATTTTTTCTTGCTCTTTTCAAAATAATGAAGGGAAATATGCGTATGAAACAATACATTTAGTTACGAATTGTATTTAGCCTCACATTTTTGTCTTGAACTAAATATCATTAGTTTATTACATATGAGAGCTGCCTAACATTGGTTTTACAATTAAAGTGACATCATACGATCTTCTCAAGATGCAGTTCGAAACCGGACACAATACTGTATTTAAATACGATCTACAATTAATGCGCCATTTTCGAGCAGTTAGTGTGTCTCATTAATATGACAACTAATTGATCACACAGTGGTTTTATTACCAAGCTAATGATTATATGTTATGTCAATCTGTAGATTGTCTACACTAATTGTATGGGCTACTGACAGTGAAAATCTGCCCAACCCAAAATTGATGAAGACTAGTTCAAGTTATTGATCAAGGACCGATTTTTTTAGCCACCACGATTATTCTGCAGTATATTTAAAAAGATACTTTTCGTAAAAGCAGCAGGATACACAATGAGGTCTAGTAAACCATTTCAGTTTTATCTTAAGTACAACTACCATTGCCATTTATGCAGACAAGACGTTTCAGGCGTTGAAATGGTTGTTGTAACTTCAGTGGTTGCACATTTGTGTTAGATACTAAGTTTTTCATAAATGGTAGAGATGTTTGCGTGGTAACTCAAGGACATGTGCAGGCTTTTTATTATAAATGTCTTTGAAGCATTGCTCACGTTTCGAGTAACAATCAAGTAGGCAATGTTAAGGCTAGGCATAGGAAATTAGGCAAAGGTAATAGGTCGGTTTATGAAGTAGTCTTCATCATCTAAGGTGGTTAGAGCACATTTTAGGTATACTTAACCTACCTTGAGGCACGATGTTTGATAATGTAGGATTAGGCTGATAGCAAGCTAGGGGCTCCTAAATCAAGATATGACATTAATTCATGAAACCATTATCCACTGAGCTGAGGCGTGTTAGTGAGTAATGACTACCAGGTTGGAGTTTTTATAATGATCGCAGCCAGTGGTCAGGGACGATGGCTAATATTGCTCATAATCGTTCACAGCAATGCAGATACACTCACTTTTTATATTCTACTCGACCTTGAGTCTCAGTACTCTTTTTGATCCCCATGTAGATTCAATATAATAAAATAGGTAATGATGTAGACGAAATACGGACCCTACTTCGCTTATGTTTTGTCGACAAACCTCGTTAATAACAGTCGGGTTATAACAAGTCAAAGACGAGTATATTGGATTTTTATATTTCATACATTTACTTTAGGAGACAAACGAATTAATGAAAAGCGGAGATGGCAGATATGCCTACTCAAAACATTACTGATTGTAAGCGTTAACATAACTCAAAATGGATTGTCAATAGGAGACAGACACTGGGTACAGTAATCGGTATACAGACATACACAAGCATACATGAGATTTGTAAGTGTAGAATTACCAGGAAATAAATATCAAGTGTGTACTAAAGGCCACACGCCTGAGAACAGTTACTATGAAATTAAAATTGACTTAATAGTTAAATGCTGTTTGAATCGTGAAATTCTGTTCAAAAGCTTGAATAAATCACTTGTAATAACCGAAAAGCTGATACACTCCTTCATACATACCTTTCCACCCTATATTTTCGAAACTTATCTCAATGTCCAGTCCTCATTATCATTGCTGTAACATTGCTTCGGTCTCTCTCACTATTGATTTTGTCAGTTTCATTTCGTTGTAATGATATGATATGTCGACTAGGATCAACGTACATCATTAACAGGCCTTACGTTCGTGATAACTGGATAAGTAAGACTAGTGGTAAAGTAAGCCGAAGTAATTCATTAACGGATCATGAACCTGAAACTGGTCTCATTATGTAACTGATTTAGAATTCTTTCTCATCATCACCTCTCCAAAATATGTTTCTGTAGAAACTACGTAGTTGGGACTTTTTACAAAGCTGTTATCACCGCTTCATTTATACTGATACTGATATTAACGTTGGTTTTGTAAAGCGATACCTGGTTTAATTTGTAACTGCTACAAAAATCTAACCACACTGAAACACCTAAGTGACATAGGTTACTTAAGTAATTAATAGCCTACGAACTGCATGTATCTAGTCCATTTCATTTTATAGGCTTCTACAAGCTTGTAAAGATCACTTTTTGGTGTCTTATATTCATTAGTCGATGACCTTATGTTTCACTTACTCGACTTTCGACCAATAGATGGAATATTAGAAACTCACTTCACTTCGGTTTGGACAACGGATAATTTCGTTAGCTTCCTTACAAACATGGTTTGATAATATAAATGATATTATTTCATTATTTGTTACTTTGTAATTAACTTTACCTGATGGAACCCAACACAGTGTCTCCCTAATATGCCCATTTCTCTACTAAGTGGCTCTTAAATATATGAGTTTCTCGTTCTACCACCTGTGTTACAAAAAAACTTTTACTATTTACTCGTGTCTAGTTTGTCGTTACTTTACTTATTGTCAAAGGTTCATCATTCAGAATTTGTGCCTGCACCAAATACCATTGGAAATATGGCACTGCTACCCTTACGCACAAAATTTCGAGGACCTGCGCCTATGAATATGGATTTGGAAAAAGATATTATTGACGAAGCTCTCTATCTTTTTAAATCACTCATATTTCTTCGACAGTACGAATTAAAAGTAAGATTACATTCTATTCATTTAACCCAAATAAATTTCATGGTTTCGTCATAGCATGTGCCCTTTCAATTGTTATAAGGTTTCATGGAAAAATTAGATTTACATTTTGTATTAAAAGAAGTCACACCTGACCAATGAAGTATATTCTTAATACAAAAACTCAGTTACTTACAGTTAATAAAATGGTTGGTTATAGTTATTTATTATCCCTACTGCCATTTTGCTTGTGTTACTTTGTTTTTTAGTAAGTTTATTAGCTTACTAAAATTCGTTAAAATTAAGATTTTATTCACTTCCTAGCCTACCAACTAATTTCGATAACTTAATAAATATTTCATTAATTAGAGTTTTTCTGCACAAGCAGATAGATAACTACATCTGGAGTTATCATGGAAGGAGATTAAATTGCACCACAGAATGGAGCTGTGACATGAATAGTTAAACATCCTATTTTCAACTAGTAGGTCTTAGGTTCAAGTGCTGCTTCACCTACTTCGGTTTCGGTAGCCCGATATTATCTGTCACTAGTCCCATACATCTAAAGCTTGGCTCAAAGACGAGGGCATGAACTTATATTTGGTAAATGAGTTGCAATATTCACTTATTAACAAAATCGAAGACTCGAGTGACACTTACCAACTGATACAATTTTTTAAAAATTCTTCTGCATGCTGTGTTATATTACTGGTCTGTTTGATGCCGTAATTGTGAAAGATTGTAGTAAAAGAAAGCTGATAATCACGTGTTTAATATTTATTAGTGAAAATATGTCATACTAATCATTTAAATCGGTAATTTTAAGGACTATATCATGACTTATAAATTTTTAGCATAACTTCACGAGTTATTGACCATAGTTGCCAAGTAACTGACCTATAAGTAGATTTAAGTGCACTATATTTTGGGCACACCTCGTCACTTTTAAACGTGCAAACATCACACTACTTAGCAAAGATATATATAATCATGATACAAATTATGTGGCGGTCTCTTTTTTGTTGAGTTCAATACTATTTACCATTATTCAATATGACACAGAGTGACTAAAATATTTAAATATCATTCTTTTCAACTAGCGTATGCGTATATATGACTAGAAGAGAGTGGACTGTCATTACTTATCTTTTATTACAGTTATGAGCTCCATACTAACCTTGAACATTTGTCTTGTTTATAATTAAGTAAATCACTAACACTTATTTAGTTTCTTATATAGGCAATTCGGTAACAAAGAATGGTTAAATCTGTAAGTATTTCTAAGTTTATGTAACAGTAGGTCAAATAGCTGCCAATGAGTAACAATCCTCGATTTCTAGTGGGTTGATATTATTTCATTAAAGTCACCGTTTTCATCACAGATGAATCATTTTTAATTCTTTTCAAAATTATAGTCAACTCCTGTTCGGTGTTCTGGGTGGCATCTTTTTTTGCTGGTTCCTTAGAGAACTTTTCTGCATTATTTAGTATGAAGGATAATTTGTCAATACAATCTTCTCAATTCATAAGAATGATCCTAGCAATCTTAATAAACTTTGTTCTCTATAAGATCATTTGATAGAGATTTATGTTCCTATTTTGTTAAAGTTTTCGAATTAATGTATTCATGATAGCAATCAGAAACTGGTGTTTTGAGTTACTCGAAATCATTGTCAAACTGGGAGTAAGTCAGATTATTGTTTGGTTGGATTCTCAAATTACGTTCTTATGCAGAGTTCATCAATTTTCGTAGAAATACTACAATATTTTCAACCAAGTGATAACGCTTACATTTGGAATTTAGAATGCTTCCGGGGCACAGATTTGCCCCTAAATACGATGGTACGGCCGAGCGTGGGGATAGTCAGTTCTCTTCAAAACGCCGTCACACGTCCACGCGTATACAGCCACTGCCAGGAAAGTCATACTCACTGCCTTCTAGTAGCGAGTGTTGTTTACGAAATCGAGAGGACGAAATGCGAATGCCCGGTGTTTTAACCAGGTCGGTGAACACAGAGAGTTCACTTAGGGGAGTTGGAAAACTCAGATTCCAAAATAATGGTGTACATGGGCTCCATGATCCTGAGAGGACAAATAGCCTATGAACCAATTGTTGCTCACCGGCTACCATGAGACTGCATCTCTTAACGTTGCTACACTACCTTGTGGATTAGACCTCTAGGTCAAAGGCTCCGGGCGTGCCCCCGCCCTTAAGAAAGCCACCTGGTTTGGTCTGGAAACCCGAGCAATATCACAGCCCACACACAAATCAAGTGATTTGTGTGGCGCATATGTATTTGGTGCCCCTTTGTACCAATATTTATCTGTCCAAATAAATAAATAATGATTTATCATGAAACTTAAATAGGCAGTCTCTAATTGCTGTCATGAATACATTAATTCGAAAACTTTAACAAAATAGGAACATAATTCTCTATCAAATGATCTTATAGAGAACAAAGTTTATTAAGATTGCTAGGATCATTCTTATGAATTGAGAAGATTGTATTGACAAATTATCCTTCATACTAAATAATGCAGAAAAGTTCTCTAAGGAACCAGCAAAAAAAGATGCCATCCAGAACACCAAACAAAAGTTGACTATAATTCTGAAAAAGTGAGTCACTCATCAACGATGACCTTTTTGAACATTTAGTACCATTGGTCTTTTCTATCTCATTACCGCATGGCCTCCTGAAGGTACATAATGAAGATTTTCCCCATTTGTCTCATAATGGATAATTAATAACTCCCTATACTATGCAGTTGCCAGCTGTTTGGGGGAAGTTCTACGACCGGTCGGGCACTAGATCTGTAAGCATAGTTCTTTAGTGTATCAGAGAAGAAAAATGGTATCGATAGATGTCACTTTTCTGTCCACAAATTTCCCACTCACAGGAACAACTTGTTTCTTATGAGATTATATTGACTATAGCGAAGTCGATTCTAAGAGAACTATTTCTACTCTGCACTTTCAACGTGCAATTCAAATTTAAAGTTGGTTTCTATATAGAAATAAATGGTGTGCGATCAGTCCTCTCCTAGTAGACTTTAATGGACAATCTAGAGAACATTAATCTTAGAGTAACAGTAGATACACTTTATTATTATTTCAGTGAAGATCTCAATTGTGTCTTGATAGAGAATACTAAAGAACATGAAACCTAGGTCCAGGGATTTTAAAAACCATCTGGAAATGAATAGAAGTGTTTTTCGCTATGCTTAAGTTATTTTCTAATAACCAACGATTGGAAGATTTTTTTACGAAACGGGATCTATGAGAAATAGATAAACCGAATGAGTAATACACAGTACTTTAATAATAATTCCATTCTGTATGTAAGAAAAGTCTTGTAAGGAGGATGTATTGGCGAGACTTAATTACACTTAAGTTCATTCAGTCATATATTGATTAGCTTTAGAAATTATCAAACTGAAGAATTGCCACTTAAATATGAAACCACATAGAATTAATGTTATTAAATATTTCGCTAAATTAAATCAAGTAAATAAAAATCCACAGTGGATTAATTGTTACAAGCTAATTTTATATTGACCGAAAATTACGCTGGTTTGATATGAAGATCACCTTTGAAATTATCACAATCTTTCTTCTAAATTGTGTTTGAGAATTTACATCCTTAACGAATATATTTCTAAGATTTGCAATTGTTTTATTCAAAATTACAATGGTTAAGATCATGAATCAGTTGAGGCTAGACCACCATGGAAAACCTGGAAGCACTGGACGGCCGTTTCGTCCTACTGTGGGACTCCTCAGTACACTTACAAGCTTGTATGAAAAAATCGTGCAAACAAATAATATTCATAATACTAAGACAACTTTCTCACAATTCAAATAACTAAATAATAACTTTCGTCTAAATTTGATCGAGTAGTTTCACAGTATTTGGGCGCCCAGTTAATGTGAGACATTAAAGAGAAAGAATGTATTTGTAAAATCACAGCGAATGAATTTGAAGTAAATTCAACGTTACTTCTGGTAATCTGGTCCAAGCTTTTTCAAGGAAATATAATCAAACATTAAAATTATCGAAAAATCTTGGACCAGATTGCCAGGCGAAACGTTGGATTTGCTTCAAATTCATTTGCTGCGAATTTACAAATACATTCTTCCTCTTTAATTCGAATAACATTTTAAAGAAGAGTTAAGACGAGATTTTGGTTTGTTGACCTGACTAAAAGTATTTTACTTTAAGGAATCTAGTAGTGTTTCTAACTTATATTTTAAAAAAGTTATGATTAGTAACTTCGCATATGAATACCATTCTTCATAATCTCTCTTGGCACAGGGGAAGCTAAGAATCAAGTATTATAAACTATTTTTCTAAAATGGATATCTTGTTAATGTTTATGACGTATAAAATTGGATTTATGTATATGGTGTGTGTAGGGATTACACTCTTTAAGAATGATATATGAAAATGGAGAATAGATTCAAATACAGTTAAGGTGAACTAGTCAGTTTATTGAAAAGATTATTTTTAAAAAGTTTCAAACACTGATTTAATATATCGTAACTGATTGTTTGTTAGACCATTTTAGCAATTATCTAGTTCAAGTGTAATGAAAAGAAGGTAGATGTTACAAGTGTTTTGATAATTCACTTTAAATACTATTCACTATTCTTTTGTATTGAATGTCTTTTTTATTATGTAATTCTTGGATGTGTGGCACTTCAGTGTGACTTTTCAATATATGTACTAAAATCCCGTTGTTTTTCTCCATTGTTGTTGATTCAGAGTGAAGCTGATCGCGTACTTGTTTATCTCGTTCTATATATTTTGGAATGCTTAAGAAAATTACAAAGGGTACGTTTAAATTCGTCTTCAATCTTGAAGTTACAGTAAACATTGATGAAGTCGTGTCCTCTAAGATTGATGGTTTAATTGTGAGACACGAACTGTCTTATCGGACAACATCATCGGTATAAACTTAAAAAAGAAATGCTTTAATAAAACTTCTTCACAGGTGACTCCTAGATTGTTCTGTCAAAATTGAATCTGACTAGTTGTTGCCAACAATTATCATGGAAATTTCACCACTGAATCGCTTAACTCAAAGAACGAGATTTCATCAAGACCATTCTTCTAAGTTACATAACTTCTCAACTATCAGTCAGTAGTGAATGTGTAAATTAATAATTATCGTAGATTCTGATGTTTTGATTGAATTCTATTGAGTTTAGTTTAGTGTAGTGTTATTGAATAATCCTTGAGTTTAGACTTTTTCACTGTAAACTTATCTATTGAACAAGAGATATGACTACCACAATTCAGTAATCTGTTAGATTATCGTACTTTTTGGAATGTACACTTGCTGGATTTTCAAGTCATTAGGACCACCAAGACTTACTGAGATACAGTTAACAAGGCTCAAGTTAAATTGGCTTTCAACCAATAGACTACAGGTTCAAATACTGCTTAACCTACTTGAATTTGAGCAGTTATGTAGTATCATCAGACCTCAAATAATGTTGCTCAAATCCGAGTACCTCAACTCATACTCTGTAAATGCGTTACACTGAGATATAAAATTAACATTATGGACAAAACACAATTATTGAGTTCCATGGTTTGACCATACCAAATATAATCACTAAGTGATTATAGTCAATATTTAGTCATACATACGAAATATTTCGGTTCAAAATTCAATGATTAGTTCCTATCTTAATTAATATTGTAATAAAAAGAATATTTATGCTAGATTACACAATAAAAATTCATTCAATTTCGTATTTTCTTGTAAATGTTTCATTATTCTATGTCAATTTCCTCTTCTACAATCTACATCATTCTTGTTCATTTTTAGTAGCTTTTTATTGTAGTATACGTATATAATATTATATAGAAAATTCCATTATCAACATAAACTACTAAATTATACGTCAACATCACTGACAGACATAACTATAATGTGATATACATTTATTGTGATTCTAATTTAGAAAGAAATTATTGTTTATAGCATATTAGGAGATTCTTACCATCATTATAATTAGAAGATTGAAGCTTTGCACATCTAGTGTGGTTGAACACCATCAACTAGCAAATAATAATAATAATATTAATAATAATCACAGTTGAATTCACGAGTCGATCTAAACTAGACCACCATTGAAAACCTGGAAGTACTGGACGGCCGTTTGGTTCTATTATGGGACTCTTCGGCAGTGCTCATACACGACCTTGCATCCGGGATTCGAACCCAGGACCTTCGGTCTCGCACGCGGACTCAACCTGTAAACCACTGAAACGTCATCCAACGGTGTTAATGCCCCGAGTGTGGGATCGTGTGTGCGCACTTCTGAGGAGTCTCATGCTAGGACGAAACGGTTGTCCAGTACTTCCACTGGTGGTCTAACTTAGATTGACTCATGAATTCAACTGTGAAAGTACTACAACTTCCACAAATCCCCAAAATTGATAGTAATAATCGTTAAGTATGTATGTGTTATCTATCCTTGATATTTCTAAAAGAATATGGCTGAGAATGTTTGTGGACTGAACTTTAAATATCAGATCTTTAAGGGTTGTTTATACCATCTTGATCGTTTACATGAAAATCGATATTTTCAAGTGTTGATCCGTGATCTCTTAGGATATGAATCAACCATTCATTGTTTGATTCAAAATCTTTGAAATAAACATTTCAAATATTATTTTGGCGTTAAAATAAGCTCTTTTCATTCAGTCCTGACAGAGAACCTCTAATCATGTTTATATTTCATTCCCTTATCTTGCATATAAATTGCTTTTAAACATAATTGAAATGATTAATTATATACAGACTATAGTTTTAGTTATACTGTAGTGAACGAGAACACAGTGAGAACAATCGAATGTATTTGAACACAAAATTACAGAACATCTTACTAAGATCTGAGAACCATACATTAAATACTTGATTTGCAAACTGTCAATCAATTGTCTCAAACCCGACTGTTCCTTTTGCAAATATCGGTCAGTCGTCTCAGACTTCATTGTTCTTTCGTTTCCACACCAATCATTCTTCATACTTGTTCTCTTCCCTTCGATCTTCTTAACCTTCCGCCGCTAGTATTTCACTTTCGGTTGATGACATATACTACTTATAACTGTCGACATCAGTAGCACACACTAAAATACCCATGTTTCATACTTTTCATATTCTAAGATACTTTCATGATAAATCTAATTTTTTGTTTTTACCAGTGTCCAAATAGAACTTCTGGAGCTAAAGAATTAGCTGCAATGGCCATAAGTCGTTTTGATATACCAGGTGATCCAGATTTTCCTCGAGAATTAAACAATATGTATGCTAAACCGAAAAATCCCACAGAAATGGAAACAATGCGCGGTTATTTAACTCAGTTAAGACAAGAGTTAGGTGTACGATTATTAGATAAAGTCTACCGTGATGATAATAGCCCACCTAGTAAGGTAAGAATGTATTTATTTGTAAGAGATTTTTATACCTTACATGGTGTTATGAATCCAACTTCGTTATCCCCATTTAATAGGATCATTAAATATTTGAGTTGACTAATGGTGATTTTGCTTTACGCCAATAATACTAATAGCCTTCGCTCAACTATCATCCCCACTAAGTGTGCTAAAGTTTATTGGCCTATCCAAACTCGTTCTATTCATAACCTGTCCAATAAAAACACTGGAATGGTATACCCATTTACTTTCTGTTGTTACAACTCAATTACTCACATGATGATGTTATATACCAATTACAAGACCACAACGTATCATAAATAGGACATCACAATCTGTACATAATAGCTCGATAATTTGTTTTACAACTAAGTTTTAAAAGAAATATCTAATCTGGAAATTATAGTTTATCATTCTTATATATTTTTTCAGATTTTTTTTTAGTATCTATGATTAGTAACCTGATTTGATCAACTATTACTAATCTAGTTGTTTGATATACTTTTGAAGTTAACTCATGAAAGATGAGATGTTATTTCTGTCATCCATTGAAGTATCATTCATTTGTCAGTTTTTCCAACTATAAAAGATCGACTAAAATTAACTACTATTTTCGATTTTTTTTTTTAAAATCCCTCTTATTGAATAAAATTAAATCTAATATGATTGTTCATTAAGTTAATAATTTGCTGCAATTTCAATCTCAAAAAAAGATTATAAGTAAAACTTCGATTCTGCTCTATTCTGTCTGCCTACTAAATAGAGAAAATCTCATGGGTGTACACCAGTTTTCTTCAAGTTAATTCGTTTCTATACAGAGTAAATTCAGTGATTATTAATTACCGAATTTATCAAACCGAACAATCACTTGAACATGAAATCTCAGTGAACTAATCAATGTAAATGAGAAATACCCTAAAAGTAAATTGTAAATGATGAAAATCACTTCGAAACAATATGGAAATTTTAAACTTGATTTATTCTTAAATTTATTGTATTTAAGAATTTCATATTTTCAACAAAATCTTACTTTCTTTTTCTAAAACTTTAAATAATTTTTAATAATAAATTTTCAGTAAGGGGTTATAGAGATTGCTGAGTGTAGATTGATATCATGAATGGATCAATGTTAGACCAACATTGAAAACCTGGAAGGATTGGACGGCCGTTTCATCCTTTATCAAAATCTCAGCAGTGCGCATCCATGATCCCACCCCGCGAGACTCGAATCTAGGACCTATCAATCTCGTGTTCGCGAACGCTTAACCTCTAGACCACTAAGCCGGCGTGTCTAACTTCAAACGATCCACGAAACTGCGCCACCGTTCACCATTGTCTATGTATAATGTTTAGTGTATAATATTTAATTCGATAAACTTTGAAAAGAGGAATTTCGTACTAGGATTAGCTTCAATTGACTCATGAATTCAACTATTAAATCATTACAATCTACACAAAATTCCTCTCTGATTATTATACATTTTCAAAGCATAACAAAAAGTTGAATGGATTAGTAACTTAAATAAGTCGAGATTATTTATTTAAACACATAAACATCGGTACAAGGAGGCACCAAGTAGATATGCGCCACACAAATCTCATTCGATGTGTGTGAGGGCTGTGATACTGCCCGAGTGCCCAAACCGAAGCAGGTGGTTTTCTTAGACAGAGCCACACCCCGAGCTTTTGACCTAAAGGTCTGACCCACAAGGCGGTGGAGCATCGTGAGGAGGTGCAGTCCCATGGTAGCCGGTGACCAACGATTGGTTCACACACCATTTGTTCCCTCAGGATATTGGAGCCCATGTGCACCATTGGTTTGTGATCCGGTTAAAGCGCAGGATATTCGCTTTTCGTCCTCTCAATTTCGTAAACAATACCCCCGCCACGAGAAGGCAGTGAGTAGGACTTCCCTGGCAAAGACTGTATACGCGTGGCCGTGTGAGGGCGTTTCGAGAGGGAGGGCGGGCCCACTCCACTCTCGGCCATACCAGGGCATTTGGGGGCAATAAGTTGAGATAATTTAGCTTAATTATGTAACTTATATTTTGTAATTATTCTTTGTAACAACGGGTAATCAAGTGATCCTAGAAAATGTGGATAATTATATTTATCTTATAAACAATTGAAAAATTCATTTGTAAGGGTTACCTGAGTCTTTCATTTGTTGATGTCAAAACCTGCAACTGATCAGTCTTTGTAATATGTAGATCCTGTGTCTGCTGCCTTGATATTCCCATTAACTTACAAGCATTTTAAGCAGTCAACAAAATCCAACATATCCTCTGTTCATAAAGGTGAATATTTGTTTTTGGTAGGAAATAGTAATACATATACCCTTCGTTGTAAGTGTAGTGAACGAAAACTCAGGTACGGTAAACCAATTTATTGTTTTACGCAAAATTACTCAGTGAATATGTAAAATATGAAAGTCATACATCAAATGCATCATTTGCATATCTTCCTTGAGTTGTCCTTTAAATACTCCATCATTCTCTCAATTCTGTTGTTCTTCCGATTGCTCTTTATTTTCCTTTCTCTTCTCTATTTCAATCTGCTAGCAGCCATTTTACTTCCGATTGGTGCCACATACTACTTATATCTGTCTACAGAATTAGCATACGCCACACATATATTATTCGTCTATTAAATGGTCATTGAGATTGAAAATCACTGGGATCTCCTATATAGCAGGTCGCTAAAATCAAAAATGTAAACCGACGCATTTTAACCTTGGATCACTTGGTTGCAATGGCGTAAAAAGTCAATGCATTCAGTCCAAGCTATCAAAACACAAAATTGCACACTAGATGTAAATCGGCAATATAGAAATTTATTAGATCTAGGGATTAACATATTCATTATGTGAAATAATATATTTTTAATGTAACCCGTTTAAATAGGGTATGTCGATATTTTTCGACGTTAGCCTATACTATCTGTGTGTGAGAGCCAGTCATACTGCTAAGCTGACCAAATCGAAGTGAATTGGAGTTCAAACCCAGGACTGACTAGCTAAAGACCAAGTTTATTAAACGAGTAAGCCATAACCTCATACTTAGACTAGACAATGGTATTGTAGTGTCAGTTATTATGTTAAGCCCATATACCTTATTCTAGCTACTGGACAGGCCAATCTATTAATTCTGCTTGAGTCACATTTTGACCATTTTAATTATTCGCTTATCAATCTTGACTGTTTTTATGTAAGCGTATGTGTGTACACTTCTTATCCCATTCATCACATGTCTGTAACTTATTTTTGTGACTATAAATATTGATTAACGCTTGGTTAAATTGAGTTGGCCCACATGCCTTCTCCACTGCGCGTCATTTCGCTTCGTTCTCCGATATTTTGTCGGGATCAAAGATTAAATGAAATATACGTAACGAAATTCACTCTCGCATCTGACTTATTTAATTCCGTTATTGACTAACGCAATTTAAGTCGATAAATATATACGAAGATTAACGATATGCATATCTTAATAGCAATCAGAGACGACCAAACTGGAGTCAGATCACGAGCCACTAAAGTATTGATCAATGTGATTCATCTCAAGTCATGCCATGCAAAGTTTTTTAATTCTATATCCTTCAAGTAATTTTTGGTTAAGTCTATTGAAGTAACCTGTAGAATGCTAACTCAGCGATTGGTAATACTTCTGTAGTCAGTGCTATTCCGACGAGTTGATTTTATCTTTCTAATTGTTTATCATTTTTATTACAGTGGTGGTTGTGCTTTGGTAAGCGTCGTTTCATGGATCAATCCTTAACGCCATTGGGAGTTTTCTAAGAAAAGCGTTTTTTTTTACATATACTCTGAGTATTTTATCGTTGTTTGTTTCTCTTCTATGACAGTAACTTTCAGTTTTTCTAATCTAATATTTTTTATTGTTTACTTGAATAAACAGATTGTCAAATAAATTTCCACTTCTCTCATACTAATGATTATCGTATACCAATATCGTTCGCGGCACGTATTGCAAATCTTCTCATATCACTTAAGTTCTGTTTTGATTGTTAATACGTGATCGCAAGGGTCAATAAATACGTTAGCGGCAGCTTCGTGATATTATGTCATAATTTTGTGACTACTGTGCATTATTGTACTCGGAAATTCGCGTTACCTTAATTGTCATTCTAAGGTTGGTTCAACAATACACTGTATATAAGTCTATTTAGATACATAACAACATACACTATGTTTAAAAATCGTTCCCTGAAACATAACTGTTCTATTGTATTTGCACACTGATTTTATTTAATCCTTGAGAATATTATTAGGTTTATGGGGTTAGAAAAGATTTTATAAAATATTCAAGAGCATAAGTAAAGTCATATGTTGCTTACTAGTAAGACAATGCTTATAGTCAAGTGGGCGTTCACCACGTAGCCCGCTTTTCCCCTATCCTTCGTGTTGTATCAGCGTGCTTACTTTGAGATTCGCTTAGCTCTATGCTTTAGTCAAACATTTAGTGCACTGTAGTAAATTTTCTCCGACATGCTAGTCTAGAATAAGTTTTAGTAACATAACTTCTTGGATATCACTTCGATCCGTGTTACATAAATGGACGGATTGTAATCCGATTGATAAAATCCCGTTGTTCGTGGTGGTGTGTTTAAGAATCGCGATATTTAAACGATGCCAACCCTTAATTTTATCAATTACTTATTCGTTGTCCTGCGTAGTAGTACTGACAAGTAATGAGACTTGGTAATGCAACCGACCAATCGAGTACAGACTCAGTAATTTACGCTGTGACATCTCATTTTTGAAGATTGGTAACACTATCCACCTACTCAGGACGAGGTACAAAACTTAAACCTAGGGATGTTGTTGGAAACATTAACCAGTACTCCACCGTTTGGCAGTGTACACCGCCTCCTTGGAGAGCATGTTTACCACTTTAACCCAGTGACTATGGAATCACACATTTAAGCACCATTGTGAGCAATCTGATGTATGTTAGTGTGTAGACCGAAGTCACATCCAGCGAAATATCAGACTAACCACCAAACTCGGACACAAATGACAGGTCAAATACTTAACCTTTGGTAAAGTGGAAGCCATACGGCTATTGCACAACTCAGTCGAAGCTTGGAGTAAATATCACAGCGATGATACATGGCTCCTTTCATTGGCGTGATATGCACTCTAATCTGTCTTACACTGCCAACGGTAGATTGCTTACGAATGCATTCTGGCGTCCACAAAAAGGTCCAATTTCTTCGGATACACAACCTAGGCTAACTGTAAGTACGTCCAAACATATATCTTCATGTCACAGGTACCACATAGTCACGTCATAAAGCAATAGAAATTCAGACTTCAGTCCACAAAGTGAGAACAAACAAGGACACCGCCCCCACGTCAGTAATAGGTTCCCTTCTATTTTTGGTCAGTGACCAGCTAGAACCACCGCGTTCGCCGCTCCTCACTCAGATGACGTGAGTCCTGAGAGCCAAGGTAAGCGATGCCGACCTGTCCAGCGTATCGGAACATTAGATGCACAAACAAAAATAACCCGAACCTATATCCAGAACTTCAAAATAGCTACAGACCGAGGAACCAGTCGCCAAAAGCCTCCAGTCTGTCGTATACTTCGGACCATACATGCCATGCTAGAAAATCGGGTGCCATGCCGCTGACAACCGGCTCGCCAGGCAAACCCGAGCTTGCGACAGACCTTAACTATACCCTATCACGAGCGACTTGGATGCTCGAACCATTAGCCTTATTAGGACAAAAGGTGAACTTCCCAAATAATGATCCGAGTGTCAACACACCCCACCACTTTGCCCATTCGGGTTTATCATTTCCCAAGATCACCGCAGTAAGTTTTCATTAACGTATGGTAAAGGAAAACTAAACCAGACACAATACAAAAGCTCAGTCGTCGAACGTTTACAGGGGTAAACTAGGTTTTTAGTGAGGTACCACAATAATGAGAACAAACCAGGTGACTTGATGTTCATACAACCAGGAACGTTCTAGATTGGATATGACGTTAATTTAGTGACTTCAGGAAGCTAGGATTAGAAATATGAAAAACAGAACCAGATAGTTGCACATTACGCATATTGGATGTGTACATAAACATTTATTAAAAATGCAAAATGAATGAACTGGTTGAATTCGATGAATATACATTAATATGAACCGGAACGAGATCGTGATAAAGAACCACGCCTATGTGCAGGACTTCTGGAGACAGCACGGTTGTCTCTGCGATCATTGCGTCGACTGCCTTTGCGTACTTCATCGCCATTATCCATGCCGTCATGACTTGCCGACCGCGACCTGGTGGGAGACCTCGATCTTGATGCTGACCGATTGGGGCGCACGTTATTCATCCGCCTTCGTGAATCATCTCGGCGGTCGTTAGGGCGACCACGATAGTATGGTTCGACCCCTTTTTGCCTAGAATTGGAGTAAGATCTAGATGCAGTAAGTAACAGACAGAAGATACTCACCTGGAGCGGGATCTAGAGCGATATTTTCTCCCACCTCGGTGAGGCTCGTCTCGCCTTTCTTTGAGACGCATCTCCGCAGGAGCTGTCAAGTGAAAGTCGAGAGAAAGCACGTTAGTAAAGATAACAATACACAACAGGCTATAAGTAACTCCCTAGCTTTGCATAGTTAGTTGTACTATTCGCACTCCCTTGGCAGCCTATGTAAGAAGTTTCAAATATCCTTAATAGTTATTTGGCTTTACAAGTCGAAAATCAATTACATAAATACATGAGACAAGGAACTCAGAAACTAAAGTATCCTTACTTTTACGATAACCTCGGGTAAACTCGACTTCGATATCGCGACCCATGAACCGTGTGTGGTCCATGTAGTAATGGGCATCTTCAGCGTCTCTAGGATTCTCGAACGTTAGGGGTTAGTTAAGGACACAAAAAAGCATTTATCAACGAAAATACTCACCAAAAAATGTCTTGAGACAGGATCCTATGTCATTGTACCTGGATTGATTGGGGGACTGCCCTGATTTTGTCAACTTAGATTTGTTAGCAAACTAATACAATTGGACTAGCTTGGCAGCTGCAATCGGTGACCAACTGATCCCGACAAATTGAGTTTGTGTGAAACTTTGTAATTTAACCAACTTGGAATTTTAATTGGATTGGGATTGTATACATGTGTTTTGACCACTGAGTACTTTGTAAGTATGCGAGCTGCCATATCCCTTGTTCAACTAGACTGATTGTTTATTTAGTGACGAACAGAGTCTATGATTATTGGTTGATTGTTTGAAACTGACTGGCAACTGAGCCGATCAATTGGGATCTATTGGTTATTTTGGCTTGAGTTTAGTCGTGCCTGTGAGACGAATACGGCAAACATTGAGATTAAGTGAATTGACGCGAGGGAAATGCAAAATGAAATATTACACAGCAAAAGGATATTCAATAAATGCGTAACCCTTCATTCTTCCAGTGAAGAAATCGAGGGGTATTGTTACGTCAACAATTCTGCCATAACGGCCAAAGCAGCGTCTTAAGTCGTCATGTCTAAAAGAGATAAGATTAATGTGGATGCACTACAAACCTGCATGTATCAGGGAGATGGCGAATATACAAAGAAGAACTGCGTCGAGGCATCCTGCGACTAAGGCAACACAACTCCTTCTATGGCAGTAATGATTTAAACAAATGACAGTTGTTCAATACATATTTTGTGAACATTACAAACATTGCAACTTTCTCCCTAAGAAGATATAAGGCCGAAAATCTGTATTAGCTTATCCTCAGTATAATTTTATGCGCATTCAGTGTGCTCTTGTGTGGATTCAGTTGTTAGATCCAGAATGGCCTCCTTTGTGCTTATCAGAGGACGTATGCACTGTAAGTCATTAGCATGTCCGGGAAATTTCAGGGATTCCGTTCAAATCTGAATGTTTATAGTAAACTGTCTTTTTACTGTCGTTCGAAAGACGTCATCGATGAATTGCTGGAAAGTATATTCAGCATTTGTTAAACCGAGGGGCATGAGCAAAAATTCGTGTGATGTGAAAGCAGTGATGATAGTGGTTTTAGGAATGTCGTCTGCAACCATAGGAATTAGGTTATATGCTCTGACCAGATTGATTTCCGAAAAAACAAATGTCTCTTTTAACGTGGCTGTTATGCCGTGGATGTGTGGCAAGGGTTAACGATCAGGTGTGGTTTTCGCGTACTGTCACCGAAAGTCACCAGTTGAACGCTTTTTATTGCTGTCCTTTGCCGGGATCATGTGCAAGTGAGATGCCCATGGGCTGTTCGATGTCTGAATGGGTATAATCTACAAGAAGAGAAAGAAATTACACAAACAGATAAATTAGTGTTCCCGTGTACTAACCTCCGTTCGCACGTGTTGATGAGTAGATTATAAAGTTGTACCAGGTCTATATCAATGATTGTCATAGAAAAATGTGCAGTAACAAAGATCCAGTGTGTGTGTTATAACCACGTTAAGATACACATAATGCTTATCGAATGCAGCAGTTGGTTTTCTAATTTTCGCCTGTGATTTGAAGACTTAGATGGTGGTTGGAGGTAGTCAACAGGAAACCCTGGACCCGGGTTTCGTGCTACTTGGCACTCGTCAGTAAGGTGTACCTGCAATCTTGAGGGAACTGGTGCTCCCTGGCGGATTCGATCTCGTGTCACCCAGCTTCACAGTCAGAGACGTTACCACTGAGCTATCCGAGCCGTGACTAACCTCCTGTAGGACTGAGATGTAATTACAATTGAATGATCACTGGGTGGTGATCAATTTCTTGCTTGTCTAATCCTTATTAGTGCAGATCGATAGCTCAGTGGTAACGTCTCTGACTGTGAAGCTGGGTGACACGAGATCGAATCCGCCAGGGAGCACCAGTTCCCTCAAGATTACAGGTACACCTTGCTGACGAGTGCCAAGTAGCACGAAACCCGGGTCCAGGGTTTCCTGTTGACTACCTCCAACCACCATCTGAATCTCAATACATAGTGCCCGCAGTGTTGAGTCACCTAGACTGGTGGCCACATTGCAACATGATCGATAGCATTCGATCTGCACTAATAAGGACTAGACAAGCAAGACATTGATCACCACCCAGTGATCAATCAATTGATTTGAAGACTGGCTCGTGCAGGCCGTCTTTGGATTTCTCGGGAAGAACATTAACGTTTGAGACAGTATGGGCAAGATATCGAACGTTCGTCATCACACCAGTGATGTACAACAGGCGGCTGTGTCCACCGACTACGGTTGCCGCCAAGGCATGCCGGTTTGTAAATTCCCCGAAAAGGTTTTTCATGTCGGACGTTTTGGAGATTAGGAAATTGCAGGGTTTCCCACAATTTCTAGAAGACTTGCCATACTGACTGGAGTACAAAAACATATCAGGATTATCTGTCTTTCGTGGTTTAGAGACCAATCTATTGTGTGACGAGCTCCTTTAGGGAGTTTGCGGGAGTTTGCCATCACGATGAACATTAAGATAATGAGCGAGAGTATGACAGGGATCAGTAATGTTGTAGTTGTATTGCTCGTAACCACACAATCCCCAAAGCTGAGCATAAAATAGCTGGGAAAATAGATATCCAACATTTAATATACAGACAAGACCAACAATGGTGAACACAGGAACATTCGTTCGTTCAATAAGATAGCATGGCTCAGCCTTGTAGGCGTCGTCATTCTTATCTAACTTATCTCTATTATTCATATTAAATATATTGTCCTATTTTCAGCCTAAATGTGTTCTTTAGAAACGCCAAACATTGTATTGCTGATGATTACAATACGACGAGCCAATGTAGACAACGGATCTTGTCCATTTGGTAGTCACATCATGCTCAGTCTACAATTTCAGGATTAAGTCTATTATTATAGCAGTAGTACTAATAATAATAATATATTTCTGCATGTGCAGGTATACACCGTTTTTACAGGCATGATCTATAAATTACAACATTTGTTGGTTCACAAAATGTTTCCCGACTTATTAAGTTTATAGTTGTTATAAAGTGAAATCGTAGAGCGCTTGCTGTAAACTATGACCTTGAGAGGACGCGTACATCAAGTTTCATAGCTGTGCCCTCAGAGAAAGATTCTGAAGAAAAGAAAATGAAGAAAAAAAAGAGAAACAGAAGAGCAGCAAGGCACTTTGATATGAACGCCAAACGTTGCTTAACATAGTGTAGTAGAACGGACAGAGGTATAATAAATTAGAATAAATTCATATTATGTTTTGTTAGTGAAATGAAGTCAGAGGCTCCATATTAGAGAATGTACTAATAAAGAACAATGAGTTGTGATGTTTAACAAGTTGGAGTAAGCTCACACGAAGGGAAGGAAGTCAAGGCTGGTACAAGGAAAGCGGTTTATAAAAGGGTGAAGTGTTAATAATATTAATGACTACATCTTTTATTGTCTAACTTTTTTTCCTTTTTTGTTTGTCCGATGCCAGCCACACAATCCTAGTGTAAAAATCCGAGTTAACATGTTATAGGTTGTCTTAGTAGAATAGCTAATCCAGCATAATATTGGAAACATGAGTTTGAGTGGTGAGCGTATGAAAACAATCTATATCACAGATTGATTGACTTATTCTAAATCATGAGGAGCCTGATACATACAAAATGTTCTGTCCCCACAAACACGGGCGGATTGGAGTTATCGCCCTCACCATCAATGCTTGCTGGTCAGTAACTCCACCCTCCCTCCTTTTGTGATGTTAGGCTCATTTAATCTTATTTTTGTATATGCCTCATACCTCGCACAATCCTCTGTTTCACAAACTGTTGGAAAGCACTATGTTTATAAGTACCATTTTACAAGCTTATCAGGCAGTTACAAGCTATGGACTGTGGGTAAAGCATCGATGCAGTGCCTCTGTTGACTATAGTATAAAGTATAGTTTGCCAATCAGAGTATAAGCGTTAAGAAGGGTATATTGTAGGATAGTTGTTTATTTAAGCAGGCGGAAAAAGTATAGAAGTATATAAGGGAACGAGTGGAAAAATAATATTAATTGCTAGTCAACATAGTGTACAGAAGAGCAAAAAGTGAATACAGGATAAACAGGAAGGAACTCATAGTAACTTGGTGCTGATGTTATTTTCTGTTGTCCTAACCAGTTGATTGGTAACAGGCTCCATAGATGCAAGAACACTGGTAGTAGGCAGCCGATTGTGCGGTCCTCTTGACGTTTTAGGGTGGTAGTCAGTGTCCTTTATCGACCGAGTTTAGTTTAACAGTAATGATAGGTCCATTGAGTTACCTGTCTACTTCAAGTGAAGAAATAGGGTGGAAAAAGTAATTAATACAACTGCAAAGTAGGAAAAATAAGGCAAACTGAACTTGAAGTCCATTTTGGTCTAGACATGGGGAGAGCCTATGATGTCTGAGTGGGGCGCAGATGTGTTCATACGAGCAAGATCAGTGCAAGTGAGGGCTTGATCAAGCAGTTTTACAAACGTATGTGATTCATCTGCCATGCGAGTTTCGGAGGGAAGACCGTTCCATATTATTGCATACTTGGTGAGGAAGAAGTTTTCCCAAGTTTTTGATCTGTATTTCTCAACTTTGACCGTAGATACTTTGTTTCGAAGTAGGCGTAGGTTGGAAAATAAGAACGAGCAGTATTCAACGATAGGTCTTACACAGACTTTGTAAAGAAGGATTTTAGATTCATTTTGATAGAAATTACGGAGAATGAAGCCGAGCAATTTCCGCATTTTGGATGCTTTGGCTGAGATGTGTTCAGAGAAATTAAGACTGTGTGAGTAATGTACCCCTAGGTCAGTTACTGATGCCAGTCTGGGCAGTGTGTGATTGCTAAGTGTTAGTTTCGTTTTGAGAGGTGTGTCTCCTATACATAACCAGCCATAGTAGACCGTAACAATATACTTTCACTTTGTGTCGTTATAAGCTTTTCTTTTTCAGAATAAAACTCTATATTGAGGGTACTGGTGATCTCCTGATTTAGTCAGTAGTTGCAGTAGTTCGTCTAAGGCGTTATTTTTAAATGGGACGGAAATTGCTTGTATCTGTTGGGCAAAAAGAGCTTACTAAGAAAGCCCTTGTCAAGGTTTCGTTGACCAATTACTTCCCACGTCCTTAGCAACATTTCTGTTACTGGGCCATGTGGCAACTCGGTGTTGTGGATGAGTTGGTTTAACTTTCGTCTATCGGTTAGGTCTATACATCTATGAATAGCTATCTTTAAAGTGTCGTAAGGCTCTGAAACATCACGAGTAAACATATTGAGTGAGACCTACTTGTTAAAATTGCGCCGTAGTGCTTTCACTACTGTGAGGAATTGTGCACATGGGTCTGTCACGCAGTGCCAGTGTAAGTCAGCTTCTGTGTGGCAGAGCTGGGTTTCAATATTATCGGACCTGAATGGGACGAATCAGAAGGTGGGAGGCAAAAGAGTTTTAATCTTACACTGTATGGGTGTCTCTTCCGTCATTATGAAGATAAGATATACGAATGAGCAAAATATCGTGCCCGAAAATGTGATAATGATATCGCTATACGTCCGGCAGACCAGTTCCAGATAGGACGGAATGTGTGTCTTGGATTCAACTGCTAGCCACTACCCATCTTTGATTATAATGCTTGTGACTCAAGACAATATCGAGGTAATCCTCACAGAATGCTCATATGCCGATAAGAG